TTATAAACAAACTTATTGCTGGTCCAAAAACACTAATTTACTTGAATATTAATAGTATTATATTTTTTCACATTTAAAATTTATATGTAACCTGTATCGGCTAAAATACACGTAACATTGGTTTAGACAAACAAAGCAATAGGATTAAAGAAATAGCTAGCATAATTATATAAATATTCAGTCAATCAAGTATAACAAATATTCTGTTACGAATGTATTTATAAATTAAAAAATATTAGTCTTAAGAAAGACTTTTTATAAATAAAAATTTAGTATAAACACAACTTTAGAACGCATCCATAAAACACCGAACATAAATAAACAACAATGCTTCTAGAAGTGAAAGTGAAATTTGATAACTTTTGAAGAAAGTGAAAATTAATAATCATCGAAATAAAATAAGTCTTTTTTTGAAAAAAAAAGTTTTAAAATTAGATTTAAAAGAAAACGAAACTAACCACGCCCCCTCGCATGTCAAATTGTGAGTCTGACACAACTCGGAAAAATCCTAATATCTCTAAAACTAATTAGATCTCAGATGCAAAATTTTTCAACTTGCTTCCCAACCACATTAGCCACCCAAAAATGCAAAAATATTTTTTTGCATATTTTTGCGACTTTTAGGGTACTGTGTAGCCTTAAATGATACCGATAAACGATTTATGACTAATATAATGGGCTAAAATAACTATCGTAGTATCTTAAAAAAGATATATGATGCTCATGATTGAATGATAAGGAAAAAAATTCAAGAATTCGAGGGGATCTCAGAAACTTTCAGTAATACCTATGATTAATTTTTTTCATGAAATACAACAATGTGATGAAACACAGGATGTGGCGTACCAGGAAATCGTTGTAACTGAAGATAAAAAAATTTTTTTATCAATAGTAATTTAAGAAGAATAATATTATAAGAAGTTCAACTAAAGTTTTTATCTCATAAAATAAAAGATTGTTTTAATTGAATTCATAATTTATATTTTTACAATTTTGTCAAAAAAAATCGTAATTAAACTAATATTTAAACGAGAAAAAGAGAAAAAGAAAGTCAAATGCATTAAAATTGAAAAAGGGAGAATTTAAAAGAGAAATATCAGCTTGATCGTCCGTCGGAATTGAAGGCACTTATTAGAAACACCTTCGCGTTTTATCCTGGAATTAAACAGGTTTTGACGACCCACTTTTCTCAATAGTGATTCGTAAAATTTCTATACTATTTTAATTATTTTCTCTCACTTTTTATATTGATTTGGAAACCCTTAGTGTGTTATGTGTCTATATGCGATGCCGAATAAGCGATTCTTAATGTGTTTTTTTTATTTAGTTTTGACAAAGACTTTTAAAAAAGGACACCGGGTACGAATATTCATTCAATTACCCGATAGTTGCCAGTCTGTCTAGGAAGTCAAGACTGCTTTTGCGCGACGCCACAAACAGCGATTGCCACATTGTGAAGCATTAACATCCATGAATCCTCCCACAAAGGGCTCTTGCAGGAATCCTTAATTTTATTCTAGTCAATAAATTAGCTATAAAATTAACAATTTGGTAAATAAAGGTAAAAAAAATAAAGTAAAATAAATAAATGAAAAATAAGTGAAATTGAAGAAAGAAATGAATTCGTAGCTAAAATGAAGACATAATTTTTTTACTCCATGATTTTAATTCCATGAATCGAATAATAAAATTTTTTTTATTCGGCAAATCTCAGCGAATACCAGATAAAAGTAAAACAGGTATTATGAGAATTGTACTTTAAGATAAAAAAAATGTAGTTTGGTCTTATTTAAAGTACTATATTTACGCCCAAATTAATTCTACTTAATATATTTCAATAAATCTTTCAAATCCTATTTATTATGACCTAAATAGAGTACAAACCTTAAAATTTGTGAATATTTTGCATTCATTTTAAAATTACAGCCCGTCCTCATTTGAGGACACTGGGCATTCCAGAGAGAAAATGATTTTTCTTGGAACAACATGCAAATATTGTGGTTAGTTCTTATTTTAAAAGTCTATTTAATTTTTTTGTTATAGAATAAGTATAAATTGCATTATTCCTGAAAACTAAATCGAATATTAGACTTCTGATAATGTTTGTGAACATTATTGTTAGTATTTTTTAATTTTTGATTTACAAAAAAGGAACAATATGAAGAGAGCCAATTTCAGTAAATAAATAATACCACGTAATTTCACTTTATGTATACTTATTTAGTAGAGCATTTTTAAAATACGTAAGTACATAAAATAAGTAAAAATAAGTAAAATATTCAGTACATGAAAGCATATAAAATATACACTAAATTATATACACCATTAGTTGTTCAATTTATTATGAAACTTTGGAAAACAAAGCATGCAATGCATGATGTTGCGTTGCATTTCTGAGAAAATATTCTTGGTTTTGATGTACAGTTCTTCATCTGACAACGTCTTTGCTTCTCCTTTTTTGCTATTGTATGTCCAATAGGATCGTACTTCACCAGTACGATCCTAGTTGCAGCAGTAGAGGTTGATTTTGTCATTTGCCGTCTACTCGATCTAACTGTCCTTTTTTTCAAATATGCTACGACAATCTCACCTCGAACATACTTTATTGAAATCTGCTCCTTACTCTCTTTCTTGTTAAGAGTTTTTTACAAAATGTAAGCATTCACTATCTACATGTCCATCATTCTTGTAAATAAACACCAATTCCATTTTTGCCCCTTATTGATTTAGTGTGCTTTTCTGAGAAACAGGTATGTTGATCCCCCCCCCACCCCATGAAAGTGTTGCACTCACGTATGATTTTTAATTGCGGAACAGGTACTCTTTCCTTTTGTACTTTGCACCACCACATTGTTTGCCCCCACAGAATTAATTTATTCGAAATTCATTGCAATTGTAATTGGTTTATTGTCATTCCATCCAAATCCTGCTCATTAACCTCAGGAGGAATTGAAATAACTGCCTAAATTCGTTCGAGAACAAATATTCCTGAGCTACTGTAATAAATCCTATCTTATTGTAAGAAATTTACGGGATGTAGTATTGCATTGAATTTTTGAAAAAAAAAATGCGAACATTTAAAAATCACGTACAAGGTAAAATAATTTCTAAAAATAAAGGAAATAATGTTTAAAAAATGTCTGCAAATTCTATAATTCACTTACTCTATCAAAATACAAACACGCGTGCGTAATTAAATGAATTAAAACAAATTCTGGAAAATTCTTTAAAATTTGTCTGTAACGCCCAGTGTCCTCAATCGAGGACAGTAAAATTTAATGTTATATAAAAAGAAAAGAAACTGTAAAAAACAAATTTATTTAGCGTTATGTATTGAAATATACTCTTAAGAGAAAAACTGAAATAAATAAAATAATTTGCCTTTAATTTATTTGATATTACTACATAAAAAGAAGATGCTTGTGTGAGGCTAGAAAAATCTCAAAATGGCTATCCAAATAACAAACCAAATATAGTAGCATATTTATTAAAAATATTGCGGATGTGTTGATAGTGCTGCTAACTATATTCCCAGAAAAGAAAAATTCTTTTTAAAATAAAAATAAAAATTTTACTTAATGTTTTATTGATTGCCCTCAATTGAGGACAGTGGGCGTTAATGGGTTAAAAAATGAAATAAAGTAGATATGAATGAATATAATAAACACGATTTTATGTCTTATTTTTCCAGCTAATACACATAATTATTAATTATTCGATAAATAAAATAAAACCAGCATACAAACAAATGAAATAAAAATGAATATTTTAAAATTACTACTATAAAAATGAATATTTTAAAATTACTATTAATTCGCAGTTTGAATTAGTTTTTTCCTTTTTTTCTTCTTAAAGCAACTAATGAATTTTGTAAGAGCCTCCCACCAATTTAATAAACACGTAATTTTTATAAGTGCTAAATTCTTAATATTTTATTTAATAATCACAAGAGTTGCTATGTTTCCTGCTCGCTATCGCCCGTCAATCCCAGTAAGTTCTGACGCAGTTCCTTCTGAGTGAGCTAAAGTTTTATGTAATACCCCAATTTTTGTCTCGATATTTTTGTTACATTTTATTTTATTCGCATTAAAGGCTAGGCCCTCTGCTATGTACTCCTCAATCCTCAGAACTTAATAACTCGGAATTTAATAACGCCAAATATATTAGAATTTTATTATAAGTATGATGAGTTTCTCATAATTTCATTTGTAGTTTTCTAAATAAAATATAGGAAAATGTTTTTTTCGTTAATATACCGAATGGACAGTCAAAATTTGCCGAATATTGAAAGTATTTGGGAGGTCACTATGACCTCTCAATTCGGCACCCTGCAAGAAATGATAATAATAAAGAATAATAATAAATAACAATAATAAAGAAAAAGTTCGAATAAAAGAATTGCAATAAGGATTTTTTTCTAAGTTGAGACATTGTTTGCAAATTTTTTAAGTAAATTTTTAGTTTTTATAATGAGAGTTGATTTATTAATTTAATTAACATAATTAATACAATGAAGCGTACATGTTTTAAAAAAAACTCATGTCTCTGAAAATAACAGAATTTATTTTTCCAAATTTAATAAATTTAGATTTAATGTTTTATTTACAAACTTTATAAGTGTTGTATGACTTTCTTTCTTTTCTTTCTTTTACTTATTTTAGTCTTTTGAAAAGGTGTCACGAAGTGTCTCATACACAATGCTGACAAAAGCAATATGATTGATGAGTAGCTGGGAGTTCTTTTCCATTTTCGATTCTTTTGATGGTTAATTAAAATTAAGCCCGTAATTCCGTATTTATAACACGGTTTGGTGTTTATCGATGGGGAGCCGCGAAAAACCGAGCTTGTGATGAGAACGAAACAAAACAAAGCTACTATAAGATAGAAGGGAAACTGTAAATTGATAAAACATTTTTCTTCGCATTCTAGTACTATTATTAGAAAATTTAGCCCCATTGCTGACAAAAATTATTATTTTTTTATATTTAACTGTATCCGTTAGCATCTTAACAAACATTTGTTATTAAGGGTTATCGTCAACTCAACTCTACTGTCACAAACACAAGATAATTTGTTTTCTTTTCTTTTTCTTTTTTAAACGAAAATTTAATAGGAAAGCTTTATCGTGGGTTGAAAAATATCTAAACTGATGAAAATCAATTACTTATTAATTACAAGATGCCATTAATTACCTTCACCGTAAGAATTTTATTCTGTGTTTTAACTGTTCGAATAAATATTGCGGTTTTGTATTTATATGTGCGGTCTTCGACAGTGAAACTATTTACTGTGCGAAATATCACCTGTGGATTTGTTTTGATTCAGATATGCAGTAAAACAAATAATTTGTGTTGATCCTTAAAATTTTTATGAGTTTACTTTTTTTTAAAAATTTTTCCATTGCATTTTGATCTGATGTATTAATTATAAATTGCGATTCTTTTATAAAATGTATTTTGTAGAGAAATTACTTTTTCTAAGAAAATTAAAAAATGTATATATTGATAGGTATGATGACACTATTAAGCTAATAAACTGTTAAATATATAAATTTTATTTATTTTTATAGTATTCAAATGTATAAATTATAATTCGTATGAAATATATTATTATTAATAAGTATTTTTTCATTTGCAACAGTTTCAATTATGGTGTTAAGATCGATTTAAAGAAGCCCTTTATTTTTAAATTTTCACATAAGGTTTCTTCATATTCAAGCGTTCTGCAAATTCAGCAGCAAAGACAAACAAACTTGTACTACTTCTTACTTTTGGACAACTCTACCTATTCTGAATGCTTGTAAAATATCTGCAGACATTAAACAGTTCTAAGAAATTTTCATAAAGTAACTTTTGGTGTCATATACACTATTATCAGTCATTTTCTAGTTATTGGTTGTTACAAATGAAACCATATTATGTTATTCCCATAACAACCAGTTTTCAATTTTTAAAAATTTACAATTTGATCCTTTTTAACTTAATTATGTGTATTTGTGGTGAATAAAAATAATGCAACCCTAGAGCAGAACGTTTTTTGCAGCGTGGAAGAGAAGAGTTAATGAAGTTTCGTTTTCAACCAAGAATGTGATCTTTTCTTGTTAAGAGCAAAATGCCCATTTGATTAAATCTTTGGACGATCTAATATGGATATTCAAATAATTATTCCATATATTTAAATTCTACAAGTGTGATTTTCGTAAATGATAAAATTCATATTTATTATTATATTTTTTCAAGATTAAGTAATATATATCACTAAATTGTTATATTTTATTTTGTGGTAAATTGAAATGTCATATTAGCAGATGGGTCAAATTTATACATATTGGTAACTGTTTGTCATTTGAAATCGCTTAGTAAAACTGTTCTGTTTTTGTACTGTAATAATATATACGTATATACCAATATATAACGGAGTAGTTTGTTCAGAGTTAAGCTTCGTTCTGTTTGCCAGATTTTGTGATAATCTTTTATTTACTGGGGAAGATTTTCATATTTGCGACAGAATAATTTTGTGATCTGCGGCAGAATAATCACCAGGTATTGGAGATTACCAGGCAGCAAGCCACAAGAAAAAAAACCCACAAAAGAGGGCTAGCTTGAAAAGTATAAATTGTAGTCACCCTCAGGCAAAAATCTATGTGGAAAAAAAATTAGATTGCTTTCTCACAGAAAAGTGCATTTAGAGTTTTGAATGGGTTATGATTACCACTGTTAAAATTTATCTAAATGTGTAATATTATGTAATAACTAAATTTGATTCACAGTTTTTAAATTACCCTCTTCAGAGGTCTGTCCAGGCCTAATTTACTGCCATTTAGCGGTACCTTCACAAATTCAACTTTAGAAAAAAACGGTAGTTTCACAAAATACTTTTTCTTAATTTTATTTTTGTATCCCTTCAGAAACTATAAATTCATATTTTTACCACATTTTTGCGTAAATTTTTTACATAATTTTTACAAATTATGCCTAAATTTTCACAAAATAGGTACCTCACAGAAAAACCTAGACAGACCCCTGCTCTTAAACTATTTTATCTGTATATTTCACAAAGTAATTCTCACTCATTATCAAAATAAGTGTCAAATTTAAAGCTTTCTAAGAATAATTGAAGGTGGTAAGCTGAAAAAAAATTTTGGTGTGTAAATTTTCTTAAAAAAGTAAACTAAAAAAAGGATTAATTGATAAAGAACTTGAAAGTTTTTTTTAATTTTAAACTGAAAATCATGAAAAAATAATCATTTAAAGGTGCATTTTTAAATGAAAGGCTTCTAAACACGCTTTGGGAGAGCACTGTAGAAACATACATAAGAGTTCATCACCTTGCCAAATACGACAGGATCATAAATTTCGCGAATAAAATTGTGTTTCGGTGAAAGTATTAGCAAATTTTTTTTCCCCACTAAAACTAAACTCAGCGGCGCGAGAGCCCATAGTGGGCCAGGGCCTACTGTGCCCATCTCAGTTTTCTTGACCTTGGGCTCTGGGGTGCAGGAGCAGATGTTCTGGTCAGGTGGTCAGCCGAACACGGAACACCCAGTGTTTAGTTCCCAAGCATGCTTGATACTCATTTATCGACCCACTGAAGGGATGAAAGGCTGAGTCAACCTTGCCCGGCCCGAGGATTTTTTTCCACTAGAAAGACAATATATATTTAACTCGATCCTCAAAATTACATCAAAATGAATTTTTCTAAACAAAGCAGTTTTTTTAAATCCAATTATAGTAATTTTGATAAATGTGCCGCCTAACTAATTACAATTTGGTCGAAATAATATAAGCCTGAAACAAACTACCGTAAAATAGTTTTCTAAGAGAAATTTTTTTATCATAAATAAGGATTTGCATTTGGCGAATTCTTGTGATCTTTTTCTAATTTACTGGTTAATGATTTGAAATCTGTAGCACATGCTCTGTATAAGTAATCTATATGTTTCTAGTTAGCAGAATATTTCTTCATTGGTAATTGTTTCAAAAAAGTCACTTAAGTTTTGCAATAACTTGACATTGACATGCAATAAATAAACAAACAAAATAGAAGTCATAAAAAAAAAAGAGATAAACTCATGGGTGATTCATATCCACCAACAGGCACGACTTCATATATTTATATTTTTTTAATTTATTGCAAGAACCAGGCTGTAGTGCCTTAGAAATGGCAATTGTTGTGAACATGAAGAAATATAAGTACTTGACAAATAAGTGGGATTCTGATAAGGAGCTGCAGAATAGTGGTCTGAAAGTTGATGTTTTATTAAACTTACTCAGAACATCTATATATTTTTAATCTAATAATAGGACTCTAATGAGTAGTAAAATAGTAAAAATAATCTTATATACAAAGGTACAAAAAGAAAAGAGAAAAAAAATTGCGCATTACAAAAATTTGGAGAAAAATAATATTTTTAAAATTTATTTTTAATAAATTTGTTTTTATAGAGTTTTCTGAATAAACTTGTTAATTTCTATTTGTAAAAATTTTTCTTATTTTTATTTCATAGCAAGACTAAGTTCTTTGGATCATAATAAAAAGTACCACAATGGCAGGAGTAGGCACTCTAGAACGAATGAAGAAAATCAATGAGATTCAGTCTAACTGTTTGTTGACTTCAAACAAATCTCCTGAAGGAACTGAAAGGTAAGTTCAGCGTTTACTTATAAAGTTTTTTCTATGGATTTTAATTAATTAGTAAATATTTTCCTCTATAATATTTAAAATACTTGTTCTAAAAGTGAAGGTTCATATCACCTATTAATTTGTTTATTGCTCATTCTTCTTATTAGCTGTTTGAGGTGCTAAAAAAATTAAATGCAAAATGACTGTAGTGTTTCTACCATACAAAATTCCTATTCACTTGTATATAAGACATGTTAACTCTATTCTATGGTGGGGTACCTTTTCATAGATGAAGGTTGACATTGTCAATATCTACTCTCCCAACATTGGTGACCTTCGGACGTGATGTGAACACGCCTACCTTGGCAGATGCGCCCACTACGATTTAAACACGCCTACTTTGATGGATGGTCCACATTGAATAGTTGACTTGCTACTCGTGACTGCGACATTGTCCTCCTCACACTGTTGCTTCTCAGTCTCAATCACACACAAAGTATACACTTTACTGCTAAAGGCAACACGGGAGAGACCACCATCGTGAACTTAATACAGCTCTCACAGTCAGCAGTAAAAAAAATTCTGTGATCTTAATACAGCTTCTCATAAAAGAGCAATAAATCAACAAGTGGTATCCGTTCATCGAATTCTATCACAGGTATAATTCAGGTGGGGGAGTGCTGATGTGTCTACCACTACAAAATTCCAATTCACTAGAAGACATGTTAACTCGATTCTATGAGGGGTACAGGGATGTGATTCTTCCATGGATTTGCGGATTTCCACTTTTTTCAGATTTTTCCATTTTTTCCGCTAATTTCAGCAGAATTTTTTTCTTAACAAGTAAAAATATTTTATGAGGAATTTAATTTTCCACGGAACGAAAATATGGAAGTCCTCATTCTTTCCTCTGGAGTTTCTCTTAAAATCATTTCCTTGGGATAAAACTGGTTGATACAGGGATGAGATTTTTTTCGCTTTTCCCTCTCAAATTTCAGCCTTTTTATCAAAAACTCAGATTCTCTAAAAGTTTTGTTTTTTAAATTTTTTTTATATACAAATATTGCTTCTTTTTTGTTTGAAAATTCAGTCGTTGAAATGAAATAATTATATTTATTTACGATTTTCAAAGATAAACAGAAAAATCAAACTACGTCCTTGCTGCTAACCCTTCTGTATTTTTACTTATTTTAGCTATTTTCTCCGCTTTTACACACTGAAAATATGATTTTCCGTATTTTTATTTGTCCGCTTGATAGCTCGTATTTTCGCAATTCAGACGGCGTGACCCTGTTGTCTGGCATAAAAGCAAACGAAGAAAAAAAAAATGGAGGTGGATTTGCTGGGAAAATATTTATTTAATCATTCAATTAATCTTGTAAATTTTTATTTATTATGTCTTAACAAAAACAATACAAACGAGCCTTTTAATAATCCCAAGTCCAGACTCTGCAAATATCTCGATTCTTATTCACGCGATTTTTTATCTCAATTATCGATTTCCGTATTTACCTGATTTAAAAGTTGCATATTGCGATTCTATTTTACGTTATTTAAACATTGTACATTATGATTCTTATTTACGAGATTTAAAAATCCAATATCGCGTTTTGTATGTATGCATTTTTAAAATCGCGATTTTACTATCAAACATTGATTTTCGTATTTACCTGATTTAAAAGTTGAACATTGCGATTCTTATTCAGGCGATTTAACTCTTGTACATTGCGATTCTTATTTACGAGATTTAAAATTCCAATATCGCGATTTGTATTTATGCTCTTTTAAAACCCTATGTAGCGATTTGTATTCACACGAGCTTAAAATCCGATGTCGTGATTCGTTTTAGCTGTTGTAATATCAAACGTCGATTTTCGTATTTATACGTGCTTCAAAAATTGGACATTGTGATTTGTATTTACATGATCTAAAAATTACGCATTATGATTTGTATTTTCGCATTTTTTAAAATTCGATATAGAGTTTCATATCGGGATNGTTTTTTGGTTTTCCGGTTTTCTGATTTCCGGATAACGGGTTCTGTACTGTATATATATATATATATTCATTCTTGGATTTCCTCTTTTTTATTTTCTGACTACTCTCATCCCTGGGGGTACCTTTTCATAGATGAAGGTTGACATTGTCGATAACAACTCTCCCCACATGACCTTTAACTCTGCACTTATGCATTGCAAAACAATAAGCTAACTCTTTTTTGGTTGCATAATTTGTTTTAGTCTGATGTATTTCTGTCTGTGTAAGCAGTATAAATTTTAAAATTGTGTCAACTTATTTTAGTGATGAAAAGTTAGAAGCTTTGTGTAATATTGTAATTGACACAGTTGCTTCTAAAGATATTATTTTTTACTTGCAAAAAATCACGATTTTCATTTCCAAAGCTTCCTGGGCTTCAGGAATAAGTTAACGGTTGAATTGATTTCTATGCTGCATTTCTATAGAAAGAGATGTTTCATGAACTTAGTTACTAAATAACTATTTCGTAATCTTTTAAAAAACAGACTACCTATTATATACAAATTTAACAACATCTATATTTTTTAAGTCGCTTTTGTTTTCAATTTCTTTTTAGCTCTCTGGGAGAAAATGATTCGTATGAATCTGTATACAAACCAACTACTGTTTCATTCAAGTATGAAAGTCAACCTGGAATCAAGCGCTATGTCCATTCTTTGAAGCATCTGCTACCAGTCAGAGTCAGAACTGGGTATATTAAATTATTTTATATCTATGTTTTTAGATAAGCTTACCATATTTTCCTGTATAGTCTGGATCATTCTTCCTTATTTTTTAAAATTTTAATTAAGACTTATTTAAATGGAGTTTTTATTTTTTAAATTCAAGGAAGCTGTAAAATTTGTAAATTTAAAATATTCATGAGTAAAATATATTTGAATATGAATAATTTATTTAAATATGAATAATTTTTTCATATTGTCATTAACTTGCAGTGTAAAAATTATCTCCCCGTGTATTATTTAGCAAACCTAAGGCTGTGTAATACTGTCCTTAGAAACAATTATACATTGGCCCCAATTGGGTTCAAAATTGGTTTAATATGTGTCCTATATGAACATGCACCGAGGGACCAATATTGGCCTACAAATGATCAATATATGGCCTATATTGGCTGAATATTGAGTATAAAATATCGGATGAATATGTCAATTCTATGTAGGGCCGATGTTGGTTGTAAAGTAACTTCGAAATATTTTTTATTTTATTTTATATCCTTCGTGGAACAGCCGACCCAATTTTATGGGTTTACGACTACTAATGTTCAATTAATGTAATGTTGTAATTTTTAACCAAATCCAGAAGACAAGGGAACTCCTGGATCAAGTATTGGGAGAAATTTGCCTTCGTGGAGGACTTTTAGATGGAGCTAACCCGCATTTGCATTACTTGGAGAGGAAGACCATGGGGACCTCCCACGGTTAGCCTGATGGCAAGGGGACTCTAACCCATGATCCGTCTACCACTGAGGATATTTCACGTCAGCACTGTGGTCAGTGCCAGCTGGATGCGGAATTCGTATTGACTGGGAATCGAACCTGGCTCGCCTCATTGGAAAGCGAACGCTCTATCCCCTGAGCCATCGCGGCTCTACAACTTTGAAATATTGGGTAAATCGGACAATTCTATACAGGGCTAATATTGGAAAATAACCTTATTGAGCCAGGTTTCGTGAACATTGGTGCACTAAGGGCCAATGTTATTTTGGTGCTAGGGATTAGACGTTTTGAATTCATCCACATATCTGTGTGTTGTATTGTACAGTTGTGATTTAATCTTTTAATTCAAAGAATTCTAATTTATTTAATATGTATTCTAGAATTCATGTCATTTATAGTTGATTTCCTAAAAAGACTATGTGTCTCCAGACTTTTATTGTTTAAATTTTTTATTTCATGTCTTGCTATTTATGTTACAACAATATCTTTCTTTACAGTCCAGGAACGTACATGCCTGTAGATATGACAGGCTGTTGTGCATTTACATTTTTCTCTTGGTTGACACCCTTAATATGGCGTACTTTTCGACGTGGCCTTGTGCAAACAGATCTCTATCATTGTTCACCTGCTGATAGTTGTCATATTAATGGAGCTCGGTAAGTTCCTATGCTACACATAGTTGTCCCAAACTTTAACATATTCTAGATTGACATTTATCCATATTGCATCAAATGTATTTTATTTATTTTTATCAATAAGAATATTTTTGAGCTTTATAAAGAGAATCGAATGTAAATAATGAATACTTTATTTAAGAAAGGTTTGATGAGAAGGCATGGGTGTGTTTTATAGTATATATATATATTTTTTATTAAATACTTTTGTACTTGATACACACAAAATCCCTGTATATACTTTACAGCGAGAAGCAAAAGATTAAATTTTTTGTGGATATTTGTATTTAATTATTTTGAAATTTATTACAATATAATATAAATTTGTGTTGAAAGAAAGGTATTTGAAAATGTGTAAGTATGGCTTGTCCTCTCTCTTTCGCAGTATTTACTTGAAAAGTTACTCAAAGCCCATCCTTTCTTGTAATGATTCGAAATAATTTAAATAATTTTTTTTAAATTATTATTAGTTAGTGATCCCTTATATGTATACTTTTTATATTTTATTTTTGACAAGGATTATAAAAAAATATATATTAATGGTGGTCCGCTTGCATAAGTGGAATCATATTTCTTTTTTATTTTAGCCAATAAATGTATAAAATAAATTGTCTAAATTTTAATTAAAGAATTTTAAAGCATAAAAATATATTAGAATTATAAATTTCAGTCATTTGCTCAAAAATTGTTATAGTCTAACTACCAATAAATTTTTTTGCTTGCATTGTTAATCAAGTATGTGGCTCATGGAATTTCGGAATTCCTGCCATAGGTCATTCGTAATTATCTGGTGTCTTGTTATTTATTATTATCTCTTTGTTTAGATTTTCTTCTATATGGTCTCGAGAAACTAAGAAGTATGGCCTTCAGCGAACTTCACTTTCACATACACTATTTCTTTTCATGAAGACACGTTATATCATTTCCTGCCTGATGTATATTCTTTGTGTGTTGTTTGGTTTCATTGGGCCTGTAAGTATTTTATTTATATATCAATTACTACTTAGATTTAACCCTCTTGTAAATAAAATTCAGATTTTTTTTTTGAGCTTCAACATTTCAGCTACAGTAGAATTTCAATTATTTAAATTAATTTAGAACCAGTTTTTATTCAAACAATTGATTAAACTAAAGTAATGTTTTTTGTCAAGGGAAAAATAATCTGTTTGGCATTATTTTAATGAGTAAATGTTAGTTAGTTTCGATAATGTTAATTGCATAAAGTTTGAAATTTTAACTATATTCAAACTCTAATAATAATTATGGCTGGAGTTGTTTAAGTTTTCATAGTAAAAAGTATTTTAAGGATATTTAGAGAATAAATATACTTGTAGCATTAAATTGCTGTATTTTTAGCATCCTCTCTGTATGCTAAATGATTATTAAATGTGGAAAAGCCATATTCTTTCAAATTAATAAAAAGAAGAAAATATCGATAATAACTATATTTATATTACAATACTCTGTTCATAGTATGCCAAAATAAATAGGAGGGTAATCAATAGTTTTTATTTCTATTTGTAATAATATTCTTTAATACTAATCATTTGCAAAAGGAAAAAAAACACCTAATATTTAGTTTTTGAATATTCATGAAATTGAATTTCCAGAATAACTCATTAGGTAAACGCTGTGTTAGTTTAAAATATTTAGGCACATACAACGAAGGTAGCAGATAATTTTTAGCATCACATGAATTTTAAGTTTTTTCACAATTAATGATTGCTTTCTATGGGGAAAATATGAAATGAAGTATAAATCATATTGGTTTTCATTTATTTTTATATAAATGAGAAAATAAAACGCAAAATGTTAAGAAAAATGTTACATTCTTCTGCCTATAAAGCTAGTTTTTGGTATAGTTTTGTCATTAGTCAATTTCTCTTATTGATCTAAAGTTTTCAGTATATTTAAAAGACTGAGTGGCCAAATGTGTAAAGAAAATTTACCTTACCCTAACGTACATAACTTTCTTATTAAATAACAAAGGATAAACTGTTTTTCTTTTTCTTTTTTGCATCAGATAAACAATTAGTAGACGCACTGCTTTAGAAGTCGCAAATGTTCAGTGAGTTGATCTTTTAATTACCAACATTTCCTTTTTTGCTAAACATTCCATTTTGTTCTTCCTTTGGTTGAACCAGACATGACAGTAAATTTTGTTGTGCAAAATTTCCCATTTATCCTGACTGCAGAAAGATAATAAGCTTTAAATCATTTATTACTCATTTTTCTGTATAATTAGTATTTGGATCATGATGACTATTTAAAATCAGTAGCATATACCACCATGCAGTTTAAAAAACAGAGTAAGGGCATCACAATAGATCAGATCATGATAGAAAAACTGCTTGATAACTATTTTCTTTCCCACATTAATGCTATCAAATTAATGCTATAAAATTGAATTTCAGAAATCTGAGAAAGAAAATTGATTTTTGAAAAAAAAAATATTTTAATTTAAAATTTTTTATTGCTTATGTTGATTTTCTATTGCACGGCAGTATATTATATTGATGATTTCTTCTTATTATTTAATCTAATTTTTCCATTTTTGTTTTATTTTAGACAATTTTTATGAGACTGCTGTTGGAATATATTCAATCACCGAATGAAGATGAGTTTGAAGGCATCACATGGATGCTTGGTCTTTTATTTTGTGAAACTCTACGTATATTCTGTTTATCCCTTATGTGGGCAATCAACATTAGGACTTCCATTCGAGCTTCATCGGCTGTATCAGCTCTTTTGTACAAAAAAATAACCTCTTTAAAGATTTTGTCAAACACATCAACTGGTGAGGTCTGTATTTGTGGTGGTTTTACTTTTTAAAACAATCTGCAATATCTTTGAAATTTTTCTGTTTTGATAGTTGCATTTCTTGTTTTAATCAGAGACTGAGATTCTGTTAAGTCATGATTTAACTATGAAATTAAGTCACTTTATTGTTTTTAAAGAAAATAATTGTTTCAAGTTAATTTAATATGAAGCAAATGTGTTTAAACAATGAAGAAAACTTGTTCTGTTAAAATAACTTAGAAAAACTGATTTTTTCTTGAAGTTTTCTCATCTATTCTTTAATTGATATCCAATTGACAAACTATTAGGCTGTTGAGCTTGTATAAAAATAATTGAGATTTAGTGATTAGTTTATGGAGTAATAATAAATTAACAACATTGACAATTAATTAATAATCAATATGTAAAGTTAATAAACTGTTAATATAAATAAATAATATTAACAGTTTTAGCTTCAAATATTAATTATATTAGTTTTAGTATTGTTAAAATATATAATCAGAAGTTTTATTGGTAAATATTGAAGAAAAAAAGTGACTTGAATATAAAAGGAAACTGACACTTTTGATTTTCTTTTTAATCGTGATTTTTACGGACCTTATTTTTTTTCTGTTTTAAAATTTTCATTTTTTATTAGAAAATAACACAGCACTTTCTATTAATTTTTCATGAGATAAAAAGATCTGCCTCAAATTTAGAGAATGTTTAGATAAAAATTACTTCCTTTAAATTTTTTGTCTTATTTGCAAGCAAATTTTTATTTTTTTATATTTCATTTACAGCTTGTCAACTTGTTCTCTAATGACTGTCGGAAAGTTTTCATGATGGTATATAACTTTCCTTTAATTATTGGAGGACCTCTTGTTGTTATCGGAACCGTTGTTTATACATACTATTTGTTGGGACCTGTGTGTTTTGTTGGTATAGCTGTATTCCTAATCACTTATGGAATTCAGGTTAGTTTGCAGCTTGTAAATTTATATTTCATTCATTCTAAAGTTATATTTTTCAAATTACTCTAATCTCTACAAATTAATATGATGAATAAACTTACTTAATTTGCTTTTGTTGCTGTAATTTTCAGAATAGCCTATTTTATGCTAAATTGCTCCAAACTTATTTCATTCCCAAAACATGCTAGATTTGTTCTAAACTACTCTATAACTGCTCCACACCTGTTTCTGTCATACTCAAATAGATCTTAGATGTGTTTTAAACTGTTTCAATCCTACTCTAGATGTAATTTAATTTGTGCTCACAGTATTCTCCTATTTTTATATTTTCTTTCATACTAAGTACTTATCAATTCTTTAAAGACAATAAAAAGCAACTTAATCATTTTAAAAGTGATTAAGGTCATATTTGAAAGTTCTCTTTGAATTCTATAACAATTAAAAAAACTGTTTTCATGTATTAGTATGAAATGTCCTTAGTTTTTACTTACTTTCTGTTTTTTATTATTTTTTCCAAGTAATTGTATAAGTATTAAATAGATTAATATGTATTTCAGTTTGTGATCTCCCTTTTATCTGCTCGATACTTAAAGAAAGCCATAAAAGCGACAGATGAACGTGTAAGTATTATTATTTTTTAAAAAAAAAGAGAGAATTTCTAAGAAAGTGTTAAATAATTTTCTAACAAATATGTATGTATTGATCAGGTTTCTTTGATGTCTGAATTTTTGTCCAATGTAAAACTGATAAAACTCTATGCATGGGAAAAGCATTTAATTGACAATATAAGAGGTATGCTCTCTTTTTTTCTATTATTCTATGATTCTTTTATTTATCTTTGTTACAAGTTTTTCAGATTAATATTTTTCAATTTTACACCTTTTGCAATCATTACTTTCAGAATATAATTATTTTTCACTTCCTTAAATTTTTTATGCATAAACATGAGATCTGTTTATCATATTTTTTTTTATTCTGTGATTCTTATTTTTGTTGATATTTTTATAAATTGGTTATATTATTTTTAAAATTTTGTTATCATTATTTTCACAGTTATTATAAATTTTGTTCTTATATTACTCTGTAATGTATGAAAAAATTTGTATTTTTTTTACTTTCTCAAATCCAAACCTCTTTCAAAACATTGTATTTTATTTGGGGACAAATCTTTCATTAATAAACAGACTAAAATTTTGGAGAGAATTACAGTCTTGAGTAATTCTTATTTTGTAAAATGTCTTTTATGATTCATCTTTAAGCTTCATAAAAATTAAATGTTATTTTGGCTCAGTTAAATGTAGAACTGTGTTGCTTTCTTTCATAGCTAGCTTTAAATTTTGTTTTTAAATGAAAAAAGGAAAAAGCACTTCTCCGCTGGAAATGTTTTAATAAATTCAGTCTAGTTTGACTGTTTATGGATAACATAAAATATCAGTTTGCTATGGTTTGTAGTTAAATTATGATAATTTTTTTCTTCCTTTTGTTAGGTGCAAGAGTTTCAGAAAGAAATTTAATTGAAAAGGTTCAGTATCTTCACTCTGTAGGCTCATCTGTCTCATTTATAACAGCAGCAGTTGCAACAATTTTCACCATATTAGCATTTACTCTTTTTGGTTTTGATATTGATCCTGCAGAAGTAAGTTGAAGTTGAAGTTATTGTTAATTCCCTTCTTTTAGATGTATTCAACACAGTTGTGCCTATGGATCCATTTTAAGGTCAAGTTCTAAAACATGCATCATAAGCTTAAAACATTTTAGCACAAATCATTGTTTAACATATTTGCATTGGCAGCACGTATCAAATTCAAAATATAGTTATTTTTAAGTCACACTCATTAATTAATAGTTTTATTTAATTGGCTTGCATTCAAAATTATTTCATTTATTTGCATTCAGCAAATTTTTTAATAAAATCTTGAGAATTCTATTAAAATTTCGTCATTTCTGTTCTCAAAGTAGACAGATATTTTTTTAGTTGTTTACTAAATGATTTCACTTTAATTTTTATGAAACAAACATGATTTTTTATTTTTTTTGTGGAAAATTTTGAACTTGGTAAAAATGATACTAGCTTTTATTAAAGATCTCATTCAGTCAATTTAAATTATTGCCTTATTTTAAGAGAATTTTTATCAGTATATATTTATATTTAAATTTTTATTGCAATATATTATGTTGTATCTATGTAAGATTTTCTTTCATGGGAGATAACTGGACCATGAAAAAGAAGTAAAAAAGTGTCATAAATTTGCAATAGAGTCCAATGTTTATTTTGTTTTAATAATCGAAACTCATAAGATATTTAATCCACTCTCTCTATGAATTGCAGCTAAATTGTGCCTCAAAGATTTATTTTTCTAAGTAATTACAACAAAAATTAACTCACAATTTTTAATTATAGCTTCTATTTTTTTATTCTTTAAAATGTCTAGTTAACATGATAACTACATTTATAAAGCTTATGAATTAATTAATTTTTTTTTATTTAGGACTTTATTTACTGTAGTTGTAATGGCATTACCATAAACATGTTAATTTGGGTATCATTATAATGCTAAGCTAAAAAATAAAAAAAAAATAGACCAATTTTTTTTTTCAAATTTATCCAATTATTTGAAGTATAAAAAACTTTTTGTATTGTTTTTTCCTCTTCAAAGATGAATTTTTCATAGAAAAATTCTTATTTTTATTATTTTATTTGTTATATATTATATCGTATTTTATTATTTTATTCATAATATATTATTTTTTTATATTATTATATTTTTGAATTTTTTTTTTCCTTTTATGTTAGATCCATTTAGGTGAAAACTCATTTTAAGAAAATAACTGTTTAAATTATCAACACAACTAGGATTCTTTGAGAATCTTTTAAAAACACAAAGATTATAAATCATAAAAGTGCATGTTTTTTTTAATTAATACAAGAAGTTAAAATCTTTTCATCTGAAATAGACCTATCAAAATAAAACAAACATTTCTTATTTCTTTATCTTAAATTTTATTTAAGTTCAATACTCTATAAATAGTACTACTTCTGAAAAATTTGGTCGGAGGAATCTTTTGTTTATTAATACAATCCCTAAAGAGTTTTTCATTTATTATTCATGTGAAATGCAAAAATGTAAACATGCTAACACTCCTATTATACAGTAAAATAAAATCCTTAATATTATAGATTTTTTTAGCAATAAAACTTTTATCTTAAATATGTTGATGAAATATGCTATTATCAGTTTAATGATAGTAATGGCATGCATGTTTTCAGGCCTTCACTTTAGTCATGGTTAACTCAATTGCTGCTCATGGTTTAAAGACTTTACCTGTATGTTTTAGAGCTGTCGTAAATGGAACTGTTGCTCTTTCAAGATTGCAAGTAAGGACATTATAAATTTTTTTGTTTGTTTAGATTGGAAAATTACATAAAATGCATGCTTAAGTTTTTCTTCTTCTTTTAATTATTAGGCAATATTGAGATTAGAAGATAAAGAAAATTATACAGTTATTCCAAATCGTGTAGATATTGCTGTAAATGTATCCAAAGCCACGTTGGATTGGGAGCAAGCGGTGCCAACTAGCTTAATTAATGGTCTTAAATCCGGGAAGGGTGAAGTAAATTGCTTAGGTGAGTTCTGTTTGAGGTTTATAAGTGACATTTCTATTTTATTGTTTCATTGACAAAAATATCAAATTTCATTTTACGATTGTGAGGTTTAAAAAAAGAATATAGAGCAGCTTTCTGAATGCATAACTCTGCAATGTACTGTTACTCCTCAAAATTTAATGTAATATATTAGTTTAAACAAGCATTTTAATTTTACTGAACTCATAACAGAAATATTTTAAGAATAGATTTTACTTTAATTATTTTTGTTAAATCAAGATGAATGGAGTATTTTTTTTCTTTTTGGATTAAAAAATAATATAATAATTAGGTAGATAGGTACTTTATTTACGTCGCACTAGAACTGCACAATGGACTATTGTCGAGGGTCTGGGAAACATCCCTGAGGATGACTCGAAGACATGACATTGAAATTTTGATTCTCAACTGAGGACTCAACCGAGCACTTTGCAGTAGGACAGTTTAACGAGGACCGATACCGCACACCCTGGGTCTCTACGCAGGCTCATCAAAGTGGTCACCCACCCGCTTACTGATCGCAGCCAGTGATGCTTGAATGTGGTGTTCTACCAGGAACCGTTTATTTATGATCGGTCAACATTAGCTTAGATCTTATAACATTTAGCTAAGCCTAACCTTATACCCACCTTACCCCACTTCTGAAAACAATCATAATGAAGAGAATTTTGAATTTAATTCTTAAATTTCTATGTAGATCTATTCTTTTGATGCCCCTATACCAGTTTCAACTAAAATTGCTATTAATGATATTAGATTAAAGTTTGTGAAAAGCTTAAACTTACATGTAATAGATCATAAACAGATATCTTTAACATCTGATCTAAACATTAAATTTATTTTCAGTTTCTGAAACTGAAACAAAACTGCTTTTCACAATTCCAGTAAATGCGTCGAAAAATATTAAACAAATTACCTCAGTTTAAAAAGAGAAAATAATGTTTTTTTTTTAACAAATACCCACTTAATCCCACCTGATCATAGAGAATTTTTGTTCTACTTAATGCTATCATTTAATTAAGAATTTTGTGAAATTTAGATACTGATAATGAGAAAACTGTTGGAGAAGAAATAAATTGCGACACAGCTTTAGTAAATACCCTGCAACTGGAGTCAGGCCTACCCCCTGCTCTTACTGATCTTAATTTTACTCTCCAACGGGTAAGTCATCTATATTATATTCTTTTCTCAAGAGCTTAAGAAATTTATATGTATATATAATTTACAAGAGTGTTTAAAATGTTACATAAAATGAAATTATCATGAACTGAATTAATGTTATCCCAGGGCAAATTAGTTGGAATTTGTGGTCCATTTGCTAGTGGAAAATCTTCTATATTTGGAGCACTTCTAGGGCAGGTAATTGTCTCACCATTATTTAATTTGTAATTAAAACTAAATACATTAATTACTAGAATATAAAAATTATTCCCTTTTCTTTTAGATGCGCTTATTAAAAGGGCAAATAGCTGTTAGAGGGTCAATTGCTTATGTGCCTCAACAACCATGGATATTAAATGCAACTTTACGGGAAAATGTCTTATTTGGTGAACTCTTTAGCTCAAAAAGGTAAGATTTGTGACAAATGATTAAGCTAAATGTGTGTTCACTCATATTTGTCAATCATAAAATATCTTAATTAGATTAAGTTAATTACGGGTTTTAGGCTGTTTTAGACCACAGATGGATATGGTTTGTTAAAATTATATTGATGGCTAGCAAATAATATAAATCCTATTAAATTAAGTTTTCTTTAAAAAAAAAATTTCGTACATTTTTCTCATAAAATTTGCATACATTTTTTCATAAACATTCTAAAAGTATCTGCAATCAGTATCACCAAATATTCTATCTATTATGGTTATACATTTCAATAATTATTTAATTTCCATAGATATTATGAAGCTGTTTATGCATGTGGTTTACCTGAAGATATTGCAGCATTGCCTGCTGGTGATCAAACAGAGGTAACACAATTTCATTTGATAGAATTTGTAGTTATATTTAGTAATTTTTACTTTGAAATATTTATTTTGTTAGTCATTTTTTTAAAATCTAAATTGTATGAAATTGTAGTTCATATAATACTGTTTATCAGCTAATTTTCCTAGATTTTCTAGTTGAATACTCAATTTAGCCACTTTCTACTAGTTTCCTTTTTTAATCAAAAATTTTCTGGATATTAAAGTTTTCTAAAGTTAATAAAGCTTTTATAAAAGTAATTATCCAAAAAGATTCTTCTCTCAGTTTATTGTTGGCTAGAAAATTTAAATAAGTTATAATTAAATAATGATGTTGACCACATACATAGTAACAAGTTGATTCCTCTTGATTTAAAATGTTTGATTATTATTTTTGTTATTGATAATGTTCTATTTTTAAGTAATTCAAAAGTGTGTATTTTTGTTATCATTAACCTATATGCTATTCAGTAATAAATTGCAAATGTCTGAAGTAATTTATTATTTTTTAAAAGTCTATTTAAGAATAAAAAAAAATTATGTTCAACTTTATTTAATGTCCATTACAAAAGAAAAATATTATGACTAATTTTGTATTTCAATTTTCATTACTGACTAGTAAAAAAGAAATACATATAAATTGTCTTTACGTATGTTTTATTTTATCTTTTGTTTGCATTTTAAAATTTTGGTAATAAGACGGAATGGACATATACCTTTCTAGAAATATATTCCTTCTAAAAATATATACCTTTCTAGAAATATATTCCTTCTAGAAATATATACCTTTCTATAAATATATTCCTTCGAGAAATGTATACCTTTTTAGAAATATATTCCTTCTGGAAATGTATACCTTTCTAGAAATATATTCCTTCTAGAAATACATAACTTTCTATGAATATATTCCATCGAGAAATTTATTGAATTCAATTTATTGACTTCAGTTCAAAAAGGGGAAAAAACAATGAGAAAAGAGAAAGAAGAATTCAATATCTGTATATAAAAAGAAAAATACCCGAGAAAATGCAATTATGGAAAGAAGCTCATGTAAATTGGAATTCGCTAATGTTGTTTAATGTTTTACAATAAAGGATTGAACTGTTTTCATTCATTAACTTAGTTTTAGAATATCTAGAATTTTTCTTATTTAAGAGAAGCTTAAATAAGAAAATTATTATTATTAGCATTGTTATTATAACTGTTGGTGAGCAATTAGTTTTACTTCTCTTTTTTTTTGGTTAAATTATCTTAAAAAAAGTTTTTAATTAAATTATTTTTACAAAAACGTAATTAAATATTCTTAATTTTCTTTGAGATTTTTTAACAACAATAAATATTACTTATCAGTATAAAAATGGAAAACTAAATTTATTAATAGAATAGTTTTGAAGAACATATTATTCCATTAATAAGAATTTATTATTATTTCTATTATTAATAATTTAGAAGAATAGCTATTACACTTTTAAGATGTCTTCTTCTTTTTTTTATTTTCAAATATTAAAAAACTGAAATGCAATACCACCATAGTTTTTTAAAAAAATGTGCTCTTTTTATCAACATGTTGAATGCCATGGGGTAACCGGTACTGAGTTTGTTCATTGCACCACGGGGGTCACCGGTGACCGGCGAAGCCAAGATTGTTAGAAAAACATAATTTGAGTAAATTTTTTATATTTTTTTATTATTATCGTTACTAAAATGGTTTGAAGAAATTAATGCATTATAGAACACGCAAAAATAGTTTTTCTTATATAGGGAAATACCAACTTGCTCCAGACAGCGAAAAAATATTTTCAAGTGGTAGTTTATTAATTGTGATTCTTGGTTTAATAAATTCAATTTAGTAGATTTTTATCCACCACTATTTCTAAACTATTAGTATGCTTATTTAATTCTCCACTTTTTTCAGATATGTCGTGCTAAACCTTTTAAAAAACTAGCAATATCTGTCAAATTTGCGAATTTAGTTTGTCGTTATTTACCGTTTAGCCAGATGGGCAAGCCATGTAAAATTACCATGGCATTCAACGTGTTAATTCTTTTTTTTTTTTAATTCTGCTAACAATTCAACAGCAGTAGATAGATTTTATTAATAAATCGATAATTTTTTTCTGTACAAAATAATTATGTATATTGTTGTTTAGCTTGGAGAAAGAGGAGTTAATGTGAGTGGAGGCCAAAAGCAGAGAATCAGCCTTGCTAGAGCTCAATATTCTGATAAAGACCTGTATTTGTTAGATGATCCTTTATCATCCGTTGACAACCAAATTGGACGACATATATTCCAACATTGTATTAAAGGTGCCCTGAAAGGAAAAAGCATTTTACTTGTCACTCATCAAATGCAGGTAATCTCACAACTACTTATGTTTATAAATAATTTGTTTACATAAAACCATTTTAGTTTGTAAGATTAAACAAGAATAAAAATTCTTTAAAATGGAATTTTAAATTTGTTACTGCTCAAAGTTTTCTTAATATTTATTGAAATTTTGAAAATGCAGTGCTGGTAAATTTCAAGGGGACAAAAAAATCTGTATTAGGCATGAAAATCTAACTATAATAAAAAAAAAGTCTATTATTTTTTAAATTGAAACTTTATGTAGAAATTGTTGTACATTGTGTTTTATTTACCATTTAGTTAAGCAGTATAATTAATTCTGTAACTTTTAACGGTGAGCAAAATCTATAACAAACTTAAACAATCATAAATCACAATAAATTTTAACAATTTTTAAGGAGTTTTAAGTAATCTACAATTAAGATCTCGGCCACCTGCCGTCCAGAGTGCCTGACTGTGAAGCCATTGGCTGTGGGTTCGAATCCCTCTCAGGGCATGGATGTTTCCCTATGTGTGTGTGTTCTCTGTTGTATGAATGTGGCCCATCCTATGAACGGGTATCTTTAGCAGTGTGGCAATGATAATGTTGCTCGCCTCCGTAACTTAGATTCACAGGTGCCCACTGGGTAATGTTAAATGATCAACAGGTGGTAAATGAAAGTTCAGTACCTGCTGTTTAAAAAAAAATTAAGATGCAAAAACTTGTTTTGCTACAGCTTTTAAGTTATTAGTAAGTTTCTGCTTTTAAATTATTTTTTCACCGTTCTGTTTTAAGTCATTCACTAAATTTGTGTGTTTTGTTATTGCACAGAAATTTTTTTAAAAATCTTTTTTGTCTTGTTATTATTAAATATTTATAATGCTGCCAGGTTTATAATTGACGAACTCATTTTTAGTATCTTCAAGAGTGTGATAGCATAATATTCATGAGAGATGGCACTATAATGGAGCAAGGTACACATACTGAACTAATGGCTAAAGATTCTGAATATGCATCATTGATTCAAATGCTTTCAAAAGATGATGAATATAGAATAGATTTATCTGAAGGTATTTCTCTTTTACATTATATTTCAAACAGAGAAAACTGTTTTTAACCAATTAGGAATGTATGTTGGGAATTTTTTATCTTTCTGTTTATTACAATTTTGATGATTATTATATTTCTTAGTGTCATCATTTTGGTTAAGATTTAAATAAATGTGCTGTTGATTAAAGAAAACCTGAATAAAACTCAAATATAAAGTTAAAAATGAGTCTACTATAGTTTTGGCACACAAACAAGAACCTTTTTCAATGTCAAAACACAAAATGGCAGAAGCAATGTAATGCCGTAAACACATTTCAATAAGAATAAAAGTAATTTAACTAACAGGGGAAGAGGAACAGGACAATAAAAGAAGGAAAATAAGAAACAGGTGTAAGGACAGGTATCCCCTGGGTGCAAAATTTGGAAATTAAATTGGAATTGATTTTCAAACATCAAGAAAGAATAGGATGCTGGAAAGATCTTTAACTAAATTAAAGGAATTGTACAAAATGTAAAATGATTCCCAGAAGTCGGGATAAGTAGTTAAATAGCAGTGTTGAATGATTTTAGAATCAGGAAACTGACAGGGTCCCCAGAGCAATGTTTACTGCAGTTAGCAAATAATGAAATTAAGTGGTTGATTTGTATGGTCCTTAGCATCCATCTCAGAGAATTTATTGGAAGTTCTTAAAGTGTTAAGTGGAAAATAATACAATACAAAAATGTTATCACTTGCACTAACATTTATTTGTTTGCTTTTCATTGGTTGAATATCTTCAGGTATGTTCAAATATTATGTAAGCACCTTAGGGGAATGAAGAAATTTGTGATTTAATTTTGCAGACATGGTAGAAAGTGAAGTTGTGAACAATAAAACAGAATGTGAACAAAAAAAATATTAAATTTACTTATTTTTGCTGACAATAGGGAAGATTAATGAAAAAATTCTTATATTATAATTGAACTAATTTTTAGATTAATTTTATAATTATAGAATTATGCATCTATTTATAGTTTTTGTTTTGATTTGTTCTTTTTTGAATTTTTTTATAGAAAATAAATCAAGTGTGACTGATGAAGAATCACGATCTCCTTCACACAGTAGAATGAATTCTCCTACATTAAGTTCCGTTTCAGATTTGAATGACAGTGATTTGTGTTGTGATGGTAAGTGAATTTTCGATGTTAGAATTTTGAGTCAAATTATTTGCAAATAGTTTATAATTTTTATGAAATTTTACAATGTTTAATAATTACAGGGCAACTGACTGAGGAAGAGAAAATTGCATCAGGGAACATATCGTACAATACCTACATGGGCTATATTGCTGCTGCAGGTGGTTTTATAATAAGTTCTTTAGTTATTATATGGTTCATTATTCAAGCAGCCTCTGTTGAATTCAGCAAATATTGGCTGAGTTTGTGGCTTTCTCAAGGAAATGGAGTAAGTTCATAATAAAATTTTAATGAAACAGATTATATATTTGATATTTCTTGTTTTATTAAAATACTGATTACACATAGTTGAACTTTATTGCACTTTGATACAGAAATTAGGGGACATTTTGGCAAATGTTTATTAAATCAATTTTCTTTATTACATTTAAGTTAAATATCTAAATTGTTGATAGATAAGCTTTAAATGTCAATTAGTCATTTTCCAGCCAAAAAGATATTATATCATATCCATTCAAAAGATAAATCAAAAGATATTGATTTATCTTTTGAATCATTTTTAACTTTAATCTATTAGTTAAATGGGATTCTCTTACAATTTTGTTATTAAAATAAAAGTTTTACTTTTTTAAGTTTGATTTTAATATTTTTAAGAAATTAAATAATTAGTAATTAGGAAAAGGATTTTAATGCATAACTTTAAAAAAAAAATTATAAGGCTCAGAAACAAGTCAAATTTTGGTTAAATAAACTTTTTTTCTCTTAAGGTTTAACATCTACAATATTTTTAATTCTTTCTATTTTATGTTTTTACTTTTTTTATTCAGTATTTCTACTTGGTGATTAAGTTTGTTGGTGTAAAATTTAATAGCCCTTTCAATATTTAATCACTGCATGGTGATTTTTTGCCTTTATTTTTAAGTTGAAAAAAGCCATTGCCTGAGAATTGGGGTTACTTTATGCAAATATTATATATATATATTTTATTTGTAAAGATTAAGTAAAAGCACTGCATTCAGCGTTTTCTGCCATCAATGCTTATTTGACAGTTGAATTTGATTGCAGGGGAAAAAAATTCTTAACAAGACTGTATTTTATATGCATTTTGAATATAAACTAAATATGTAATTTAAAGATCTTGTTAAGCTTTTCTCTTTCTTGAAAATTTTATTCATTGAATTACCAATATAATTGAGCAGAACTTGATATGATTGCAAGAACAATATTCATTAATTAATCTAAAATTTAATTCTTGATGTAGAAATTTAATATTTTAACATGAAATCAAATGTTCTTTTATACCTCAGTTATTTTTTTAAAAATATGTTTCCTATTTTCTTCTAGAATGAAACTTTCAAATCAGTTGTTGTCGGCATGGCTCATCCTGTTAATTCATCCGTTGTTGTTGGCATGGCACATGCTGTTAATTCATCAGTTGAAGCTGCTCCTACATTTGAGCCAATCAACATAACAGATCACCCCCATGTGGAATTTTACCAGTTGGTTTATGGTTTGTCTGTTTTGATTATGCTTGTCATCAGTCTAATCAATGGATATCTTTTTACAAAGGTAAATAATTTATTTGGAACAATTCCTTCATAGTATTATTAGATTGAATTCTCAATTATTCAAGATTATAATTATTTTGATTATTTTTTTATTATCGGGCATATTAGAATTAAATAACTTAATTCTAAATTGGGAATGCACAACCATGTTTTGATACTATGCCACAAGAACTGAAGAATAATATATGGAGGATCAACGCTAACTTAACCCTTTGTTTACAGTGCACCATGTTTTAATGTGGTCCACGTTGTATCAGCAGTAAGCAAATGGTTAAAGCTGTTATCGTAAAAATGCAATATGTAGGAGGCGTTTTCTGAAAGTAAAGATACTTCTCCAATACCAAAGGAAAAGTTTCTGTTAATTCATTGGCAACACTGACTGATTTCACTTTTTCCCTTGAGATTATTCATTATTTTTATGGTCAGCTTTGTTTGACAGGCCATCTTTATAATTATCTGCATCTATTCAGAACACCGCCAAATGTAAAGTGTATCTCATAATTCGTTTTCTTCAAGCAAAAGGTTAGGTTTGCAAAAAGTCATAAAAAAGTATACTAAAATCATTCAATTAAAAATAAACAAACGGGCTTGCTGACATGCAGAATTGACTTGTTGTGCAATAAAGTTCATTCTCACACAGTGCTTTAAACCAGTTTCAAATGGCAAATTTTAAGTTATCAGCCATACAGCTTGGACTTGCACCCAGGTACTTTCCCTTATTCCTTTACCTAAAGAAACTTCTTGCAGGGTGAAATTTTCTCGATTAATAATAACTGAAGTTGGAGTGTAGTTCTGACAACAAGAGACAATGTTCTATGACTGTGAAATACAAAAGCTTGTGCCTATATTAAATAAATGCTTTGACAATGGTGGAAACTATGTTTAAAAGTACGCACATACCTATAATAAATTTGTAATATACATTTAATCAATTAAAATTTTTTCAAGCAAGTATGCAGCATTGTATCTTTACTTTTCGAAAACGCCTCATATTTAAATTCTATTTAAAAGTTATACAAATAATTTATTCACATAAATTATTTTCTCATGTGCAGATAATAACATTAAAGCGAATAATTTAAGTATTTAAAAATCTGTTAATCTAGAAAAATATAAGTTTGCATAGTAAATTCAAAGGTTTTTGCTATAGAAGTTAATTTTTATTTTATTTCAAAAATCGAAATTTATTGCTTATATTGTATAAAATGTGATAGTTCAGATTAAAATTGTAATTTATTAATTTACTTAATTAAATAAATTTGTGAAATATCATATTTTACCATGAACATAAATTCCATTGCATAATAAAACTTGTAAAATGAAGTATTTATAATCTGGTGTTATGAGGAAGGCTGAACTAGATCAGTTATTTACTGCTTTTCTTTCCTGCAATATTTTCATTAGTATTTAAGACAGTTCAAGGGTCTAGCCAAAAGACACCATGGGTAATTATTGGCCCTCAGGCTATAGGTTGTAGTTTTCCATTTCTGTATTAAATGTATTTTTTTCAGAATCTATTGGAATGTGATAATTATTTAGTAAATTATTAAGTTTTAATTATTATTATTTATTTATTTTTACTGCAAGGTGGCTATTAAACATAGACCATTCTATCTATAACAGCAGGTTATGCGCTCACATTTTAAAGAATGTTAAAAAAATTTCGCTACATTGTTTTATCACAACTTAAACTGGCTAACATAAACATAATCAATGTTGTAAAAGTTTATTTGTATGTTACTCTTCATGTTTTTAATTGATTAAATTTTTTATTGTCATTTATATTAGAATTTAATATGCACTAGTTAATAGAGTTTTTTACTCTAATTTGTCATTTTTATAATCAAGTTCAACTTTTTGATATTTTTTTTGTTTAAATATTTTTCAGGCTTCTTTAAGAGCATCTAGTAGCCTTCATGATAAATTGTTACAGAAGGTTTTTAGAAGTCCAATGCATTTTTTTGATGTTACACCTGTTGGAAGAATTTTAAATTTATTTACTCATGATGTTGATGAAAGTAAGTCTATAACTTATTGGAATTTTCTGCAAATTTTACATCAGATTTATTAACTTTAAAAAAGAGTATATCAATTTTTTAAGAGTATTTAGTGTTTGGTAGACACATAATATATTACACATGTTATGCTTCTGCGTAATTAAATAACTATAATCAAACTAATTAATACTAAGCTGGAAGGGAACACATTATTTACTTCTTATTATCGATTTCCTGTAAAAGTCTGGTTTGTGAAAAAGAAATTATGAAAGTTCATACACATTTACTAAGCTATAAATATAGCACTTTATTAATTATTTTATTTCTAAATAGCCCAAAAGAAGTTATTTAATTTGCTGTGAACTGTCTTGTTGTTATTTCACTGTGTTAATTCTCTTCGAATAAGATTCATGTCACAAAAAAACATAAATGTATGTCATCCTTCTGTCAAAAAAGGAAAAATTATTGAAGTTTTTCTGCCAGCTCGAGAGCCATTAAGTATGTTGGGAGTAATTCAGCTTGAAATTCTTCATATCCACTGCTTTCATTCCTTTTTTTCTTTGTTAGATTGAATTTGAGCTACAATGTCCTCTAGGTATCTTGGAAGCAATAGCATTGATGCTAACAGATTAGTATTTTGTCAACAAGTGAGAGCAAATTTTATGAAACACAGTTCACAGTTATTACTCATTAAAGCATGGGTTCACTTCTTATCATGGCACTATTTTCTCATAAATTTTACATTTTACAAACTAAGTACATTTCCAATTTCTTTGTTGAATTGGGGTTTTCGTTAAATTATTGCTTATGATAAGCAAGTTTGACTGTATTAGAAAAAAGTGTTTTTTTATAGTTCAACTAAGTATCAATTTTATATATGGAAAAATATTGATAAAAGTAGCCTAAAAATAATGAAAAGTGTATGAACATGGTTTAAATTATAAACCATGTTCATATTTTTATACTTCCATAAGTTATAAATTCAAATTTCATAAAAAGGTACCTATTTTTGAAAATTTATATATAATTTGTGAAAATTAAAAATTATTTTAAGAAATCAACGTTTCTGACGGGATACAAAAATAAAATTTTAAGAAAAGGCATTTTGTAAAACTACTGTTTTTCCTAAAGTTGAATTTGTGAAGGTACCACTAAACGGTAGAAAGTAAACGATACAAATTTGGCCTAGATAGACCCATGTCTATAAACTGTATTTTATTTTTAAATGTATTTTTTTTGAAGTTTTATTTAATAACTTTGAGGTATTTATTTCGATAGTTTAATTTTATTCTAGTTTAATGAAAATATTTTTATTTTTCAGTTGACACTCACCTGCCAACAGTTATGGTGGTTTTCTTACAAAGGATGATGACCATGATTTTTGCATTGCTTCTTGTTGTCATTGTTTACCATTGGTTTGGTATTCCTATAATCTTCCTTGGCATAGTGTTTTTCATGTTACAGAAGCTATTTAAATCAGCTACTAGGGACTTAAAGAGATATGAAAATTTTTCACGATCTCCTGTATTCAGTCATGTTGCTGCAACTGTGAAAGGTTTATCGACTATAAGAGCTTATGAGAAACAAGAAGAATTTTTTGATAGGTATTATTATTTTCTATTTCATTTTGTTTATTGAATGTTACATTTTAAAAGCATAATTTTGGAAATTTACTTTTGTGAGCCTAGGTGTACAATTCTTATAAAGGAAAACTTTTTTAAATTTGAATGTAAATCATATGCAGGTTAAGTTCATTATGGTCAATGGTATGTCAGCCAGAATAGTAACATGCATGCTATCCTTACATTTTAGATTCATTAATCTTTAAAAGTTTAAAAAATATTTTTCCTGACATTTTTATTTACAAATATTTTTAATTTAAGTAAGTGAATAATTTTATTTGTGAAAAATGTATTATTACTTGAAATTTAAATTACTGTAATATTTCTCTCTTTCAAATATAAAATAGATGTATTACATGTTACTTGCAAATAAAAATTCTAATGAACCATTAAAAAATACACTTTTAAAATATTTCATTTACCTGTTCTGTTTTATTAATACATCTCATTATTGAATTAATATATAAAGAGAAATAGATTTTTTTTATATTTAAATTATTAATATTTGTTAATTGTAGAGTTAATAAAGAGTATAATTACTCTGTGAGAACCAAACCCTGTAGGTTTAAGCAGCTATTAAGCATATTATACCCTAAGCCATTGCATTATTGGCTAGAGTAAAAATTAGCCACCCTAATATTACTTTAAGGAAAGAAAACGTCAAATCTGCCCTGTGAATGTCTGAATTAATGAAATGTTAACACACATGGGCATTGGAAATTTAAAAAAAAAATTTCTCCCTCTGATTGATATTTTTATATTGGTCGATGTTTGTAGGGCACATGCTCATGTCTTTGCCATATTAATGAGCATATTTGTTAGAATTTATATTTAAAAGCTCTAGATTTTTTTTAAACTTAAAATGTTGTATTATATTTAAATGTTTAATTTTCTAATTTAAAACTGAATTTTAATTTTTCAGGTTTACTCAACTTGTAGATGAGCACTCATCACCTCAATATCTTTACTATTGTGCCCTGAGATGGATGGGAATCCGAATGGATATTATGTGCCTTACAATAACTTTGACTACTATTTTATTCGTTATTTATTTGAGGGATCAAGTTAATCCTGCATTTGCTGCTCTTGCATTAGTTCTTGTTCTGCAGGTAAGAATTGTTTTAAATAATCGTCTTCATTTTCTTGATTTATATTAAGGGTTGTTTTCATTAGTTTGTCTCGCAAAGGAATATAATTTCATAATAAGTCATGACTGTAGTTTTCCCAAATAGATTAGACGTCTGAAGGTTATACAATTTTTTCCCTCACTATTATATTGGTTTTGGCAAATCTTGCTGTAATGTTGTGGCGAAAAATCCCCTCTACAATATGTTAACCAAGAAGTTGAAATATACTTGTTTGAGAGAAAACAAGATTTAACAAAAGCACAGAAACATGGAGAGGAAATATTATTATAAGAAATTCCTATTCTTTTTATACGAAATTTAGTAGTGATTGTTCTGAATAAAATAAATTAAAAATTATTATGTTTTCTGTGTATATGAGTTAGACATAAATTGGTTTTAAAACCTATCTACTCTTAAGGGTACTATTATTTTTGCTTATGATTTTCCAATGTATTTTTTATTTTAAGCCTAATTGAGAATTATGCAAAAAAAAAGCATGTAAATTAAATTTTTAATTGTTCTGAAAGTTGCTATTACCGACTTTAAAATGTCTGTAAAAAGTCAGTTGCAAATGCATTTAAATTAGTAAGTTAGGGTAAAGACATGTATATGAGTTAGACATAAATTTATTTTAAAACCTATCTACTCTTAAGGATACATTATTTTTGCTCTAGATTTTGTAATGTATTTTTTATATTAAGCATAATTGAGAATTGTGCAAAAAAAGATATCAATTAAATTTATAATTATTCTGAGAGTTGTTATTGCAGACTTTAAAATGCCTGTAAAAAACGCTTGCAACTGCATTTAAATTAGTAAGTTAAGATAAAGGCCATAACAAACATGTTTATCATTGAAAGTGAATACAGTTTAAACCTCTTTATCTTACCTAAACTATTTTAAACTCTTCCTTAACCTGTTATTTCTTGATTAATGATTGAAAATTGGTGATTTTCAGCTCCAGATTTTGAATTAACCAATAAAGTAAAAAAAAAATTAAATTTAAAATTTAACATTAATTGAAACATCTGAGGGAATCAATTGAATAATTGTTTCCCCCAGTTGTTATTTCAAATGGCATAACTGCGTTTGAAGAAATTTTTTCTTTGCGGTAGTAACATTAAAGTTTCAATATATAACTCTTGGTTTGTAAAGTAGAAAAAAAAACTGTCTTACTCACTTTCACTAATCAATAATTTAAACATGTATATATGATTCATTGATTATAAAAGTTTTCAGTTTTTAATTGCATTTTGATCTTTGAAAAAAAAAACTTGAAAATAAAGTGAGATGGTACAAAATAAAAATTAAACAAAATAAATGTTAATAGTTCGAAGTCTTTAGTGAAATAAAGTATTAAACCATTAATTCCCAACCACAAATGTGGTCTATATTTGAAAAACGCCTATGTTAAAAAGTGGTACATATTTGTTTGTACCAAGTGAATATTTCTTTATGCTATCTATTTTTTAAACTCATTAAAATTGCACTGTACTTTAAATTCAAGGCCAAATAAGAACTTTTAGATTATTAATATAAGTTTTTGGGAGAAATGTTTTTTTTTGGAAGTATACAGTTTGCTATTATAGTAAAAGATCTATATAACGCTATTCTGTGAATTGGATCAAAAAATGTAATGAAATTTAAATAATTCCAAAACACTTAAAATTTCAGGATTTGTTTAGAAACAGAAATTAATGAAAAATATATTAATAAATTTTTAAATTTTTCTGGCATTTAAACATAGTTCTGGTAGATGTTTTGCAAGATTATGTCTTTAAAAACATATCATTCGTATTTTGTATGTGATAATGAGATTTTATGGAATTTTTTTTTTTGATACTTAACTAATCTGTTTGGTATTCATATTCATTTTATAACATGTAAAATTGCACTTTCTTAAAAGAATATATATTTTATTTCATTTAGCTGAGTGGTCTGTACCAATATATAGTGAGACTCATGTGCGAGGTAGAATCGAGATTTACGTCAGTGGAACGTATGCAGTCTTACATTGAGGACTTAGAATCAGAAGCTCCTTCTGCCATTGATAAGACAAGACCTTCACCAGACTGGCCTATGCGTGGTCACATTGTTTTTAAAGATGTTAAAATGGGATACAGGCCTAGTTTGCCTTTAGTTTTGAAAGGATTATCTTTTGAAATTGAACATCAAGAAAAGATAGGAATTGTTGGAAGAACTGGCGCTGGTGAGGTTTTTTCTAAAATATTATACTGATATATAGCAGCATACTGTTTTCATCTCTTTTTGATATTTATTGACATCATTTTACTTAACTTTCATGCAAGCAAGTGTATGTGAGATTAACTGAAGAGAAATGTTTTTTTATCCCGATAGCATTGTAAAAATTATATTCCTTCAACTTTCTTTGATCTATTTTCAATCCGGAAATTAATTTCTTTCTAGTTATATATAATTTGTTATTAAATTTTTCACTTTCATATTACTTTTTACTCTATAATATTGCAAATGCCAGTAGTTCATTCAAAATATGAGCAATTTCATGCTCTTAATTCTTAATAAATTAGTTGGGTATTTTTAGAGATCTCACCAAAAATATCATAAGGCAGGATGTTTTTTCTGAAACAAGGGCGCCTTCAGTTTTAAAGAGCACTAATCTTTAAAATTATATCTAGATAGATTAGTGCCTTTCAAAGCGTAATTTAAAATACTCAAATATGAGAAATAATATTTTAGATTAATTTAGCCTAAAAACAATTTACAATAGTAATGATAATCTGAAGTTCCTTGTTTCTGCTACTGCAACTTTTTTTTTCTTGAAATAAAAAAAGTAAAATTTTTTTTCTGATAAAAGACACCTTTACAAAAAGGTCCTGAGGATGCATTTGCCTGTGCAAAAGAGCAGGTAGGGTGGGCCACCCTTCTAAGAACACTTAGGGGGAACACTTGGTATTTCTTTGGCTACAAATCTGATTGTAATTCTAAATATAAGTTGTTGTTTTTTTGCAGTAGTAATTACCTTAAGCTAATTATAGTATGGTTTTAATATAAAAATTTTAAATAGCCTATCTTGCTTATTATTTAAGTACGTGAATTTTCATTATTATGTACGTCAATCTCTTACGAGTAGGATGTTTGTAGTAAAATGTGAATAGATTACAATGTATTATTTTTATAAATAAACCAAATATTTTATTACATTTATGCAGTTTTGTTTTTAATTAGGTATTTAAGGTATTTTACATATCTCTAAAAACATATGAAATGCCTTAAAATGTTTCTTATTCTTAAATTTGATATAATTATGAGATTTTTATGCAAAAGTGTAAAGATTTCAATTATTTTTATTTAAAAATAAGCACTTAAAAAAAGTAGCAAAGCTGTTTGAAGCAATAAAAAAGCTGTTTCAAAGTTTTTATAAAAAACCTCATGATTACTAATAGGGGTAATAATTTTATTTCGTGTGCTACTTCTGGGCCACTTCCTTTAGGTATGTTATCCCTAAGTCATACTTTTTGTATATTTTATATTACACCTAATACTGTACTGAATTTATCCGTTATGTTTTCATTACTTTATATATACATATCGATCTTTGCAGGAAAATCTTCCCTTGGAGCAGCCCTTTTTAGATTAGTTGAATTGAATTCTGGGAATATAATAATTGATGGCATCAACATTGAGAATCTTGGATTAGAAGATTTAAGATCTAGAATGTCTGTTATCCCACAGGATCCCGTATTATTTCAAGGATCTATCAGGTACATTATCTTTTCTTTTCTTTCAATTCTAAACATATGGAGAAACATTATTTTGTTTTAGTTTTGTATTTTCTAAAATGAAATGCATCGTCTATAGAACAGATTTTTAAAGCTTTCAAAGTGTCAAAAAAAGGAACATTTGCAATTGAAATATGCATTAAAAATACAAACCCTTTGTGTAGTTTTTGATAAATATTGACTTTTTATGTAATGTAAAAACTTCTTAAAAGAACGAAAATAATTTCTCTTATTTTAATTTTATAATGGCAGCATTAATTATTCCCCATATATCTTTTATGTTAGTAGATACACGTTTGTTTTAAGTTTTTATATGCATGTTTCCATTGTGTAAGGTTTTCAAGCAATATTGCGACTTTTTACGCGCAGAACCATCAGTGAGTTAAAATTCTAATCCTGCATATTTTTATTTAAAAAAATGAACCTAAATGCTGTGCTTAGTAAAAAAAATTAAATATAAAAACGATAATGATATAATTCTAGTACCTCTATACAACATCTTTAGAGGATTTTGTTCTTACTTTATATTGGAATATCCTTTTACTATTTTGTTGTTCTGGTTAGTGTAGAGGATTATGCAGTCATAAGTTTATTTTAAGAAATAGTTACTTTTACTCGAAAAATTTTTTTAGTCATGTATTTATAAGGCTAACATGCCTAGCATGACACGTAGAAAATTTGAGATTTTTGTCATTTTGTTTTATTTTCGAGATCTATGTATTTTTAGTATTATTATTAATATTCTTTCCAACAAATTTGTTATGCTTTCACCAATGCATTCAGTTATTTCTTTTACTTATATTTTCTACGATAACCCTAGGTAAATTCTTTCATTTTTGTTAGCAAATGTGTTAGTTCATTCTGGATGCTTTGTTTTGTTAGTTAAATTTCTGTATACTTATATTTCAAATAGAATGTTTCTTCTGCCTTTTGCCTGTAATTCAAAAAATTAGATTTAATGAATACAAAATTGAACCAAAACTTTTTTACTGTCTTGCAAAAGTGATTAATTTATTTTTCTACAATTCAATGAAAAAATAATTTTATAATATGAAGGGAAATTGTCTTAAATCAAGAAATATTTTTGTATTGCTAATGATTTAAAATATTTATCTTTTCTAAAATGTTTTAACATTTAATTTGTAGATACAACCTTGATCCAATGGGCGAGTATGAAGATGAAATATTATGGAAAGTTCTTAGTGAAGTTGATATGAAATTAAAGGTATGATTTGTATATATATTTTTTTTTGTAAACTTTTGTATGTTTTCCTATTTTTTAAAAATATATTATGATTTCCATATGAATTTACAAAAATTAGAAATAAATTAATTATGTTTGGGTTATTAGGTTTTTAAACTTATTGTGACTTTGCGTTATTAAAATACTTATTTTTTTTTTTTTTTTAATCTGTATTCATAATAAATTTGAGTCTAGATAGCCTTAAACTTCTAGTTACTTTTTTAATAAAAAGCTATAGAGAAGTGCCAATTAGAACTACCAATTAACAAAGTTGTCTGGTTAACAGGACTGTGCTATATTTTGCTGCTTTCTTAGAAACATTTTCAAAATTTTTTGATGAGGTTGTGAAATTGCTTCTTTTTTTTTTTGTCCTTGAAATTGAGGGACTTCCACTTTCCTTCAAATATTCTACTCTCCAAGTGATAGGGAAAAGTAAAAAAAAAATAAATTTCTGGTTAGATTTTTTGAAACACACTATTTTTCTAATTGTTTCTAATGTATTAGGTGTCTGGAAAGCAAGAAAGAGTCATGTTATTGTCACATCAAATATTGATATCATTAAAATAAAATGTAAATATGTAAGGCGCGATGAAAATAACATAGCTCTTGATCATACTCCTCTGTCAATATCTAATTAGCACACCAATTTTATAAAATACTAGCAAAATGCTATAATTTTGTTTTAAACTTTAAAACAGACTTTTGTGAATCTTGTTTTTCTCTAGTTTTGAGTAAATTTGATTGTGTGTATAAAAGCTAATTCCTTCGATTGGTTTACATAAGTTTTTAACTAAATTTACATTAATTTGAAACTTTATCAATGTGCGATTTTTCTCCTAACAAAATATTTTTTTAGATTTCTTCCCTTGATGGTGGTCTTGATTCACCTGTTGTTGAAGGAGGCAATAATTTTTCAGTTGGTGAAAGACAGTTGTTGTGCATGGCACGGGCATTATTACGCGAAAGTAAAGTAAGTAAAAATGATTTGCCATATTTTAAAAACATTGAAACTTTTTCACAATTTTACCAAATGTCCTGAAATTGTCGCAATTTTCCTAATTTTGGTTGACGTTAACAGGAAGAATAAATATTACATTTCTAATAACGAATTAAAAGCAATTTGAATTTCGAAATTGTTATTTTCTTTGAGACAAAGTATCTGCTGAAATGAACGTTAAAGTCTTTATAGCGCATCAAGTATGGCATCAATTTAACGTACTTCCATTGTTGGTGAGAAGGACACTTAATTAGGACTAACCATGAAAACATTCCATATTTGAGAAATTTATAAAAAGCTCTAATTTCTCTTTCCCCCTCCCCCTGTCATACTGTACAGTTTTTAATGGTAAAATCCTTATATTTTTCTACTACTAAATGATTATCTGTATTTATATGAACTATCCCCTCTCATTTTTTTCATAGAAAAAAATGTAATTTTTAAAAACTCCTAAAACTATCCCCGATTGTATATCCATGCCATACAAATTGCTCCCATTTAAGAATCAGTGTTCTTAAATTTAAAAATAATTTAGTCCTTAATTTTTTTATATTTTGAACTTCCAGTCCTGTAGAGCAGTGTTCCCCAACCTTTTTGTCACCGCGGACCTGTCAACGTTTGATAATAATGCCGCAGCCCACTGAGGGGGGACGTTGATTTGTTTATATTTTGGATTATTTTGATTTATTATTTTTAATTTAATTGTATTTAAACATGCCTTCAAAATAAAATACAGTTACACTAAAAAAATAAATATTAAGTGATTTAACATTTTAACTTACTAGAACGTTAAATCAATGAGAACCCTGAATTTGTGTCTTTGCAATAAGACGGTTCCATCTGGGGGTAATCGGAGACAATGATACATTACAAATATTAAAAAAATTATGTCACTACCTTTTTTTAAAATAAATAAAATTTTAGTGGAACACAGATATTTCTAATTTGGGGTATAAACCTAGGAATTTAAATTCAGTTTCAATGAAATGCGCGGCCCGTTACCGTTCGATCCACGGACCAGTACCGGTACGCGGACCGGGGGTTGGGGGACACTGCTGTAGAGCATGTATATAAATTATTTTTAACCTTTGAAAAAGGTTATTTTACATTGAATAGGCCAATTTTCAGAACTTACAACTAATTGTTGAAATTTAGTACTCATTCGCCTAAGTTTTAAATTTTTTTTTTTTAGGTTGTATTGTTAGACGAGGCGACTGCTGCTGTGGATAATGAAACTGACAAAGTTATACAAAATGCTATTAATCAAGTATTTGCCAATTCCACTGTTCTGACTATTGCTCATAGATTAACAACTGTTGCCAATTGTGATAGGGTAATGGTTTTGTCTGAAGGAAAGGTAAGTTTCTTTCTACAGTACTTAAACTTCAGCATTATTTTAAACATATGCAGAATCTGAGGTATTTTATGATATTGTGTTTATTCCATTGAACTNCAGGTTGTTCAATTCAGCTGCGGCAATCTCATACTATTAAGCTAGGAAGAAGTGAGTAGTAGATCTCTATTTTAGTATTTTGTCGAAAGTGCTTTTCTGAAGTACTTTGTACAACTAAATAAGATTCTTTTCACAACACTTAAATATTTACTTTATTTTCTTCATTTATTGAGAAAACAGTTGGCAAAGAATTGTGTTAGGTTAAAAAACATTTCGCTAAAAAAAGAAAGAATTCTAAAATGAAAAAAAATAAACAACTTAAAAAATAAAAATGCTGTTGCCAGCCGTAGAATTTTTTGAAAGTTAACTTAGCAACATAAATCAAAATAACATAGAAGCGCAACTAGATCAAAATTTTGATACCTGAGCGCTAGACGTAACAAATCCTTCAATTCTATAAGTGTTGTATCGCCAAATGCCCAAATTAACAATTGCAATTTCAAATTAATATTGAAATGTACAGGTTTAGAATTTTCTACAGTGAAAAGTTTTCGGAACTTCAGTATTCAAAAAAGTATACAAAAGCTAGACGTTAAGAAAGTATCCAATGAGCGAGCATTGGATTGCGAAGCAATCCGAAATGAACTGCGAAAGCAGTTCCGGGGGTTGGCGAGCGCCAGCGAGTAGGGGGCGAAGCTTCCTAGTTATAAATAATAGTTTTAAAATTTTTTTTTTAGATTAAGATTTATATACATATTTTTTACTTTACTATATGTTAGTACATATATTATTTCTAATTTTGACGTAGATGATTATGCAGGATGTATCAAAACGTTACTCGTTGCCTAAAAAATGTTGCTAGTAAAATCTCCATTATTTCTTCAATGGTGGCAGGTATGCCACTAGCTAGGCATTGCTCTCATGCCATCTAGTGTATAATTTTATTGTTTAACCTAATGTATTTGATTTTCATTAGATTATAGAACTTGATCAGCTTGTATGTATGTAATAGTAAAATATCTTTTCTCTTTTGTACAGATTGTTGAATTTGATCAGCCTACTATTTTGCTGAGTAATCCCAACAGTCATTTTTCGAAACTAATGGCTGCTGCTCGGCCTGCTGTTGGCTTTTAGACTTCCAATATGACTTATTAACTGTTTTTAATCAACAAAACCATTTTTTTTTGTGGTTGTATTTTTTTGTTACATTTGTTTCTTGGTAATAGTTTTTATCTCCTATTCACTTTTGAGAGAGGAGAAAGGCAGAATTCATTTCCATATGTTTGTTAGATGTTGTTCAATGTTTATATTGTAGATGATTTATATATGTTATTAGCCTATTGAGCAGTTATCACTTAAATATTTGTTTAGATATTGGTGCACAAAACTGTAAGGTATTGAATTTTTTTAAAAAAAATATCTATTGGGGAGAAATTTAGAGATTACTGTTGTATTTCCTTTAATATTAAATTGTTTGTTCCTTATATGAGGAAAAATGTGTATTTCATAAGTGTATTACTTGTAGAAAATGTTACGTACTGTATGTTTCCTAATGTTTTGCTGGTTTAACTATCTTGTATAAAAGAATAAAAAAAATAATGTTTAAAAATTTTATTATTAGCATATAGTATTTAATTATCAATAAAAGTTGAATAATTTTTTAAATACTTTAATTTAAATTGCTTGTTGTTAGATTTTTATTTAATATCTAACCAAGTTGATATTTTGGCGTTAAATTTTATTTATCTTTTCTGAACAATAATGGTTTATTATCAGAATCACTCAAGATAAATGTTTACTTGGAAATCAGTTTTTTATGTTTCTTATACGCCATAAAAAGAGCTTAATTTATAACTATTTTTGTACTTTAGTCATAGATAATATTCTTATTGTAATATAGTGTTTTGTTTTAGAAATTTTCAAGTAATAATAAATTTCAAAATTACGTATGCAATAACAAACAAAGTTAAACTTTTATAAAAAGAACAGTAGCAATTAAAAATAATTTTAATAATTGAAGTTATACATTTCTACAATAATATCTTGAGAGGCAAGATATGCAAAGTTTCTTAATTGCAACTTTTTGAAATTTATCTTAAGAACTTTTTAAATGACTAATTTTTTAGTGCAAAATTTAAATGGCCTTATATGATGAAGATAGTAGAGTTGTTGCTATATTTTTTATAACTTCAACTTTAAAATATGAGATATTGAAAATAATTTTATTTTGTACAACTTAAAAGTACAAGCATAACTAAACTTGTTAGTTAAACTGTATAATAAAATTAAAGAAAACTGGTTTTGGTGTTTTTACTGTTGTGCAATATGTTTTGTAATAAGATTTGTGTAAATTTTGACATAATTTACTGTACAATATAGGCTTTTTTCATTCATGTCTTTATAAATGCAAGTGTTATTGATCCTTTCTATAGTGACTGTCCGCTTTTTAAATGTGCATGTAAAAGTAAAAATGTGATTTACTTAATAGAAATAACTTAGTAATGTCCATGCCTGTACAAAACTTGAAGAGTATGAACCTTTCTTTCTTTTTTTAAAAAAAAAACCGGTTTTTCACCTGTCATTAGATTGTTAAGCAGTGTCTATGGGGAAACATTCTTACAAATCATGTCAAATTGTAAAACAGTTTGAGAAATTAAAATGGAATGAGCTTTGTAAAATTTTTGTTAATATATTTACATTTAATGCAATGTTAAATATGAATTTCATACTTCTATTTTCTTAATTTGTAATATTAACTCATGTTCATAATTTCTCTTTATAAATATAACTCAGTAAAATTAATAATTTTTCATTAAACCTATTTTTCAATTAAATTTTTCTTCGTTTGAAAATTTATATAACATTTAAAAACTGAAATGCTGTATTGAACATCATATATAGATATTTTTATATAATTTTATCTCTTTCACTTAAATTTTTTTCTGAGTTTTTAGCCTTGCTTCTGTATACTTCCCTCATAGTATATACTTTTGCTGAATTTACAAAATTAAATGCAAATTTCAAAGTAAATTAATACTTGCTAATTTAAAAAGGCTGACATATTTATTTATTTAAGATAGTTTTAAAATTATCTAAAATACTAATTTAATTTAAATTGGCTCTAAAGAACTAAAAATTACTTTTTTAATTACTTTAAACTGATTCTGATCATTCCTATTTAGTGTTATTTTCACATTTCCAAAGTTTAAAATTTTAGTTTTTGATTTTATAACTTTGTGTATAAAACTTTTTTTTTCCTATTACAATTCATTTCATTGTTAGTATAAAATGTTTATCAGGATTATAATTTTATATAAAACCTTCTTTTCTTAAAGTTATGTTGTTAATTATTAACTAAAAAAATTTTGTGTGAAGACAATTAGATTTTTTGATAAATTTTATCTTATTGTATGTCTGATGTAGTTTATCAGAATTCTAACTCAGCATGTTATTTAAAATTATAATAAAGTATTCTTTTTTAATTATATTACTATTTTTTTGCTTATTGATATGTCTCTTTAGTTTTGTGTTCACAACTTTCCTCTTTCAAAATAATAAGATTTAATAGTTAATTTTCTTTTCTTTATTTTTTTATTTTATTATTAAATATTTATATTTTCTATAGAAAAAAACTTCATTGTCAGTTAGGAATGGTTATTCTATCGTCTGAAAATTTAAATTTTTATTTTTTTAGTTATAAATTTTAATCTGTGTTGTGTTCTATAGATGTTGTTTTTCTTTTCCTTTTTTTTTGTTCAAGGTCCACAACAGGTCCAAAAGTGGCCCACAAAGCTATTGAATTGTTCTTACTGTACTGTTTTAAAAATTATTATTTATAAGAAAGAAAAAGTTATTTTTTCAGTCTTGCTTTTTAACAGAAAATTAATGATCTAGTTTAACTTTTTGTTATCATTCTATTTTATATTTTTTATGATCCTGGGATTCAGCATTTGCTGTAAATTGTAATTTTTTTGAAATCTATACAAATAAATCAGAAAGAAAAAAGTTGATCAATTAAAAAAAAATTAATACAAATTGGTGATAATTGTTACTTCATTTATCACACTTATCTGATACTGGATTAGTAACTTTGACTATTATTATTTTAATTAAGAAAAAAATATTTTTTACTATGCAATTTATTTTTTTTTGACATTTTTTTTCTCTTGTATACTAATTGGGTTGTAGTATTTTGCTTTGTAATGATATTTATCTTGATTTATTTTTATTAAATATTTTTAGTTATTTTATTTTTAATCTATAATATTTTCACTTGAATAAAAAATATATAATAAATTGTAATTTCTTTCAAATCAATACAAATAAATTTAAAAAGAAAAAGTTGATAAATTAAAAAATTACTGCAAATAAATTGGTCAAATTGATAATTTTTGCTTAAAAAAATTATAGCTTAGACAATCACATATATCTGATTCTGTAGTAGTAACTTTAACTATTCTTATTTTATTTAAGAAAGAAAATTTTTTTTACGAAACTATTTTTACTGTAAATATATTTTTTTAAATTTTCTATTCTTCTCCTTTGTATGTCTTAATTAGTTTTAGTAGTTTGCTTTGTTATTTTGTAAAGATATTTGATTTATTTACTTTAGTATTTTTAATTATTTTGTTTTTAATTTATATTATTTGCACTTGAATAAAAAAAAATACACCCATAAGAAATTCATATATATTTTTGTTTTTCAAATAAAATTTTAATGCACCCTGCATTTTTATGATTGCACGTTAATGATGGTTCATAAAATAGTATATTTTAATTTTTGTTGTGTATCACTGAAATGAATTTTTTGTGTGATTGATTTATTGTTTTATTTCATAATGCAATAGTTTGCATTAAAAGTTTCAAACTAAAGACTTGGGCATAAAGTTTAGTTTTCTTTGATTACTTTACATTGTGTAAGCTTTGTTTTTTTTGCTGAATGTCCATAACTATTTACTTAAATGTGTCGTTTTTGAAAACATGCTTTTAAGATGTTTCCTATTTTGTAAGAATCTGTGATTTTTCTTGCATGACTGTTGTGTGTTTCATAAAATTTTTAATGCTATATTTTTTAAAGAAATAAAGTGTTTCATAATTTGATTGCAACTGAGCACATTTATTTTATTGAAAAAAAAAAACATTATTTACACCTATTTTAAAAGATGAGAAGAGTTTTTGTTTCTCTGTAACAAATTTTAGTCCTTTTTCATTTGACATTGCTTTTAGCAATGTAGCTTTGATGAACTTCTTTATCTTTTTTTTTAACATTAAAAAAAAAATTTTTTATTCAACAAAATAATGAAAAAAAAAGTTATTCAAAACTCATCTTAATTGTATCTTAGGAAATCATTTATTTATTAAAAGGTACAGGTTTGAAAATGTAATCAAAACTCAAAAATGTTTAAATAAAAAATATTTTTTTTTAGACTTGAGAAAAAAAATTGAAAATGTTACTTAAAAAAAAGAAAGTATAAATATTTCTAAACATTTAAGTTACAGAATTAGAAATTTTTTTTTTCTAGAGGTGACAGCCTATTTTTTCATTTAATCATTTTTATTAATGAGAATGAAACCTTTTGAAGTGAAGAAATAGCCAAAATTTTGAATGAATAAGTCTTTCTTATTTTTGAAAATTTTAAAACCTATTATGGTTAGTCAGAAAAAAATAAATTTTTATGTCTAATTTCATAAATTATGTTTCTCACAAATGCTTATCAGTAATAATGAAGACCTTTTAAATCATTATATCAAAAGAGTATGAGGAGGGAAAAAAAAGGGGCATTCATTTTTTCTAACTGTTTTAATTAAATCGTACTTAATTTTGTTTTAAATTTATTTGTAATATTTTCATTGAACTTTTTTTTCCATTTTAGAATAAGTAACGTTAATGCCTGAAAATACTGTTAATTTCTGAGGGTGATATTCAATTTTATGGAATTAATTATAAATAAATTAATAAAATATTTAAAAAATTGCATGATAACCTCATTAAGCAACAGTATTTTCAGGCAAATAAGTTTCTGAAATGGGAAAAAATTTTTATAAAAAATGAACAAGAAAACAAAGTTAAGTTTTATCAGAAATTTTTTTTTTAATTTTTGAAGTCTTAACATAAAGGATGTCTAACTAAATGACTGATCCATTTTGAACATCTATATATATATATATATATAAATATTTGACTGTCTGTGTGTCCTTTATAGACTCCTAAGCCATCCGCCCGAACCCATGAAATTCGGAACATAGATAATTTGTAGCACGAGGAAGGTCACAGTTGACATAAGAACATTCTATGACGAATCGTTCTAGCTGGATGAGCTATAAACGAAATAGAATTTTCTGATTGGTTAAGCGGTAGTCATTGCTTTAAACTTAACTATAGACGATTTTATTTTATAACCGTCGTTGCACAGCTGGCCCAATTTTACGACTACTAATGTCTAGGAGGTTTACTACTAATGACTAGGTTACGACTACTAATGTTCAACTCCCTAGCCTTGTAATCTTGAACCCAATCCAGAAGACAAGGGAACTCCTGGATCGAGTATTGGGAGAAATTAACCTTCGTGGAGGACTTTTTGATGGAGCTAACCCACATTTGCGTTACAGGGAGAGGAAGACAACTAGAACCTCCCACGGTTAGCCTGACGGCAAGGGGACTCTAACCCATGATTCGTCTACCACTGAGGATATTTCACGTTAGCAGTGTGGTGCGGAATTCGTACCGACTACGATTTGTACCCGGTTCGCCGCATTGGAACGCTCTATCCCCTGAGCCATCGCGGTTCAACTATAGACGATTCAATTTATTAAGTGTTTTAAACATAATATTAGTGAAATTTGCTGACCGATAGATCTATTTGATAAAAAAAAAAAGTTTTTGCATTGCACTTCAATATTTAATTATTTTTTATTTGCTATGACAGATAAATGCAATGAACAACATTAGAGCGGCTATGGTTCAGGGGATACAGCAAACCGGGTTCGAATCCCAGTCGATACGAATTCTGCTTGCACCGACCACAGTGCTGACGTGAAATATCCTCAGTGGTAGACGGATCATGGGTTAGAGTCCCCTTGCCGTCAGGCTAACCGTGGGAGTTTCTAGTGGTCTTCCTCTCCCTGTAACGCAAATGCGGGTTCAAAAAATTGTGTCGGTTGTTCAGCGGCGGCTATTGAATTAACTATTGTTTAAGTAATTATAAATAATGGTTTTAACAAATTTTCTTTAGATTAAGATTTATATACATATTTTTTACTTCGCTATATGTAAGTGTTTATATTATTTCTAATTTTGACTTACATGATTATGCATGATGTATCAAAACTTTACGCGTTGCCTTAAAATGTCACTAGTAAAATCTCCATTATTTCTTCAATGGTGGCAGGTTTGCCACTAGCTAGGCATTGCTCTTATACCATCTATTGTATAGTTTTTTTTTATTGTTTAACCTAATGTATTTGATTTTCATTAGTTTATAGAACTTGATCAGCTAGCATGTACTAATAAAATATAGTAATTTTTGAAGTTATACTTCTTATGCGACTTCCAACAAGGTTGCGTTAAACGTTTAACGCTACATTTTTATTGGCCAGGAAATCACGTGGTATGATCGAGTTTTCCCTCATTCATTTCCATATTCTCTTGGTTCTCACTAGCATAAAAATAATAAAAGTATTGTTTTTGTGTAAATATTTTTTTAGTTTGTTTTGATACACATATAATTTAATAGGGTAGTATTTTTTATTTTCAAATTTAGTGGATAACAATTGTAAGAAATGAGTGAAAACAATCCCACGGACAATGCGACGGATTTAAGGTTATGTCAAGGTACGTCTCTTGTGAATATCAATTGATTGTTTCTGTTCTGAAATTACATTATGGCGCATTCACATACATTATTTATACAAATACATTTTGCAGGGCGAGACGATGAGGCAACCATAAGCACTGGTTCAAGAGGTCCAGGTGGGAAAAATGCACAATATTACCGTGATTACAGAGCGCGGAAGCGAGCGGAGCAGGAAAAAGAGTCGTTGAATAAAACTAGTGATCCTTCTACGACTGCTGACTCTTCTACAATTAACGTCGCAGGGTGCGAAGTTTAACTTCTTCTCCACGGAGGGACTCCACGCACTATTTTTTTTCTTTTCTCTTTTGTACAGATATTCTTTTAAAATGTGTAAAAGTATAATCGATCGAAGGTAATTGAAAGAAAAATATTAGTCATATATTCAAAGGCAAAAAGTGCTTATTTGCTTAAGAGAAACGTAAAATATCGTTTTACTATTATTGATGACAATGATTGTTAATTAATTTAGTTAATATATGCACAGGTGGTGTTATAATAATATCACCCCTTCTCAAATTTCAGTGTGATTTTATTGTAGACGAAGTTAGGGACTCATTGAGATAATATTTGGGAGATTTACGTAGTCAAATGTTTAAATTTGAACTAACTTTAAAAAAAAGAAAAAATTGGTTACCTGGTTCGTCTCACTAGGACTCTTATACTTCTGGCGGTTTACTTAAGTTCTTAAATTGACGACCTCTCATTTTATCGCCAAATAAAATTTATCATTAATCAAAATTTAGACTATTTTAAGGTTAGTTTGAGTGCTAAAATTTCAATGCAAGCTCTGTTCCAGAATGTTACTAAAAGTTTCATTCGGTTTCTGATCGCTAGAATTAGTCGTCGTATTATCACTAATCAAAATTGTAACTGCACACTGCATCTCTTTTCTTGACCACTACAAGCAGAAAGTATCGCCTAATAGGAATTATCTTCAACATAAATTTTAACTAGCTGAATTTTAATTGGAGTTCCGCGTTTGTTGATGATATGAGGGGTAGATTATATTTGAGGGTGCCCTTGATTCTCGCCAAGTTGAGATCGCAGTTGATCGCCAAGCTAGGCGATGTTGAAACCCAATCGTGATTCTGATTGGTTTAGATTTTTACGTTATTTTTAAATGTTCAACGGTATATGTAATTTCAGAAGTCCGTTTGTTCTACGTTGAATACCGGCTGGTAAGGTTACTTTTGAATCTGATCAATAAGATCGAAAGTATGTGGGCAGTAATAAAAAGGAATTTAAGAAAAAAATTTCACCGCTTACAGACGCCATTTTCGATTCGTATTTCGTCAAATTTATGTGGCGATGGATGTACACAAATTCTATTCATGATGAATTTAAACAGTATCCAACTGTTATTACTTAGATAATTCTGTCCACCTAAATCTGAGAATATTCAAGCTTAAATGAAGAAGTGAGTTGTTTTCTTCCTTTTCTTTCTGCGCCTACTCCATTAATTTTTGCTTCGATTCAAAATCCTTTCATTGAGTTTATTAATTTTTCTTTTATTGGGTTCATTGCAAGTTTTTGCCGATGTTTTGTTTAAATTTTCCAATGTTTTGTTGAAATAACATTATGTTTTGGCTGCCATTCCTGTTACCACGATGTTCCGCGCAAACAGGAATAGCGCCAAACATAGGTCGCCAATTTCGCCAAGGGGCACCCTCAAGTATATTTTTCCCGATATGAGTTTCAATAAATGTAATTTTCCAGGTATAATATTGTTTTTACGTAAGAAAAAATATCGTTCATTGTAAGTTTTCTGACCGCTACTGGCAGAATTTATCGCCAAACAAGATTTATTATCCACCCAATTTTTTGATTCGATGATATCAGTGGTCGGAAGTAATGCACTACAAGTGGAAAATTACCGTAGTCGCTACTTTTTTTCATAGTTTGTAGCATAGTGTGTGTAGTAGTACTTTTTCAAAAAAAAAAAAAAGTGTAGTGAGTAGTGCAATACAAAATAAAAATAAAATGAAATAAAATTAAGTTAAAATAAAAGTTGTGAACGCCTTATTAGGATTACTGGTCAAACGCTTTTTCTTTCTGGATTGACTCCGTTAAACGCCACGACATTTCAAACCATGGGTTGCAAAAACTGTCTCAATTGATGCTTGTCGTCGGATTGGTTTTCATATCCTGCCTGTCTACGTGTTTCAGACGTTACAAAATACTTTTCCTTCCTCAGCATTCATATTTATATTGAAATCACCATCAAGCCAGTAATTATATATGTTAATAATAAAA